CATGGTGTCGTGCTGCCAAAATGGACCTCTCTGTCTCCCCCGTCTTTGGAACTGCCAGAAAGCGGGCAAATGCACGTGCGATAGTGAGAAGTGCTTGGGGCCACACACGTCGAGCATGACGAATTAGGCGAACCACCAAGATCATGCAGGTTCCCGAATCTATCCTGGGGTGGAATTCCCCGGGTAACAGCTCGGACCCATCTTCGGGGACTCTGGCAGGGTTGAACACGCCCGGAAGCGGTTGTCCGCTCATGAGATGCAAAGAATAGATGAGAAGCAGACGAAACGTGTGGGCATCGAGGTGTTGTTGTCGCAGAATATGGAGTGGGATGAAAGCCGGGATTGTCGGGGCATTCGCAACTGAGTTGGCATTGTTGGATTCCAACAAGAATAACCGCACCATAGCCTCATGAGAATTCCGGCTCTTCATGATCCATGCCCATGCAGTGACATCGGCAACATCATAGCCACGCGAGGTGAGATAATCATGGCTCTTCTTTCTGAACACTTCATTGAGAGCAGTATCCAATTTGCTCGCCGTGAGGTTATCCGACGTAGGTGATAACAATGGGTCTACCTCTCGTATATACTCCCCAAGGAGCACCGGCAGAGACGGCTTTTTCGGTCGACCAACCGTCCTCGCATTTTGCCTCCCACGTGCCAATTGAGGCCAATCAGATGCGGTCGATTGATCGTTTCCAAGAGCATGACCAGTGTTGCGCAAAGCTTTGGAGAGATATTCGGCGGGTTTCGGTTTCACTTTAATGCTGGCGGCATTTCTAGGTAGATTTTCGCCTTCAGCTATGTGGTTATCCGTCGATTTTGGGGTTTTTGTAGATGCGCTGGGTGGATTTTCATTGAGGTATGAGGATAAGGGCTTGGTGTCGGTTGCAGGTAGATCGGGTTCATTCGGGAATGGAGTGGATTGAAAGGAGCGGAAATCGCCTGGGATATCACGCTGTGTGGCTCGGCTTAATTGTGTCTAAGATCGAAGCTATTAGCACAGGCTTCGTAGTATAGGATCGAGTAGCATTACCTGGCACAACCGATCTCTATTGAGCAAGTATGCTCTCAACCCCGGTACTCCCGAAAGGCTTCGGGCATTCTTGAGAACCGATGACATCCATGAACGTAGTCATGGGTATTTGTCTCAGAAGTTGAGATATCGAGAGAGAAAACAATCGCGTCCTGAACTCGGCAGAAAATGAGAGGTCACGTGATAGATCGTCACGGGTTGCGCTTTTCGGGATGGCGCGCATTCTGAGCGTCAAGAACTGTATCCGTCTCGCCCTCCGCAAAACAGACGTGACCCTTACCTGCTTCGCTACATTTTCCATTGTCCTATCCCACTGGACTTTACTATTTTCGGTACATCATTCTATCTCTCATTTTCGAGGGATTCCTTTTGTGGTTCTCTCCCCTCTTTGCGATTCGCTCCTCCTTTCGAATTCGGGTTTGATCCATCGAGCCTCCTCGCACGGTTGCTTCGTGGAGCAGCTTCACACCCACCCACCTGCAACACTTTCTTCTGCGATCGCGACCTCGCAACCTTCACTTCCAGCTCTCTAATTTGTGGACCCCGACCATCTGCATTGAAGGGGACCGCGTCAAATAAAGCCAACTTAGGCGCGACTCTGCAACCATGAGCGCCGACGAAGCTGGAGAGACGGCCGCCATTTCCGCCACAAATGGCGATTCCCATGATACCACTATGATCGCAACTCCCGGAAAGAGGAAGCGGTCCACCCAAGATGATTCCAGTTCCTCTGCGCCACGCGATCGAGCAAAACTCCACGAAACTCTCCGCAACCTGATCAGACTTCTACTCAAGTAAGCTATTATCAGACTCATATATATCTGGCCCACCTCTCTGACAATTACTAGGCATGATACCGAGCTGCAACTCCTTTCTTGCCCCTTCCCAACATCTACAACTAAGCCTCGAACGAAGCGCGCAAAGGTTTCGGGTGACCAAGATACCTCCAACATACAAACGCGCGTCAACTCGGACCGATACAGCACCCTGCAAGAGTTTCTTTCTGACATTGAAAGAGCGTCGGCTGCTGTAATTGAACGCAATCAAGGTCAAGTGAATGGCACAAAAGACGACAGTGCGCCCTTGACCGAGGTGGTCAATCAGATTGCAGCATTTAAAAAACACATGAACAGTTTAGTTGGCCAAGTTTTCGTCAACCAGGCTGAAATCAAGACCGAGGCAATGGAAGACGATGATGATGATTCGACAGATCTCCACGCGATCAATTTTTGTACCCGAGAGGACAAGCACGCATTGACCCTCTTTGGAAATCCAGCACACCCCCGGCAGCTATTTTCAAGTCTTCAAAAATCCATGAAGGTGCCATTGCAGTCCGACTCCGGGCCCGAGAAGTTCGTTGAAGTACAGGAGGAGTTGCGCGAGACCTCCTTGCCCAATGGCATCACAACCACTAAGGTTGCTCCTTATAACCTGGCCGCCGCATCCCTACCGAAACGGACATTTGGTGAAGTTTTCGCTCCACGTGAATCATTGCCACCGTTGGTGCCTCCGCGCAAAAGATCCCACCGGAGTAGTTCAGTCACCTGGATTGATCGTTTCGACGCCACATTCGATAGCAAGGCATTCCTAGGTGAGCGTAGCAACTATTGCCTTGCGCCTCTTCCCTCTACTCAATGGATTCAATACGGCGGAATCACCTCGTCGCCAGCCTACTGGGACCGTGTTGAGAAACAACATACAGACTCAGATATTGTTCACAAATCGGGTGATCCTGCTCTTTGGACTGGCATCGATTCATCTGCTCTCCAGGGCGTCTTTTCCTCATTCGCACCTTCTTTCGATAGCTCCAACTCAATTGTGCAACATGATTCAAAGAACATGGTTTGGTGGGGCCAACGAGGCGCGAGCCGCCTGAGCACCTTGCTGTCTATTCCCTTTGACGGAGAAGCAAAACAAGATGGCACAACAGCTCAACCTGGCAACATTGGTGAACTTGATGAGAGTGCTCTAGACGAGATGGTCAAGTCATTCAACCCTGAGAACTTCGCTCAAGATATTACACAAATCGATGTTAAACCTGAAGACGACCTTGAATCCAGAGAGATCAAGGACATGCTGGACGATATTTCTGGGTTGCTGGACACCCTCAGTTCTTACCAGCGGATTCGAAACCTCGATCAACCTGTTTCTCCACCCACCCGCCAAGATTCTGAGGCGAATGAAACCCCTGCTCCTGATGCTAGCGACCTGAGCACGCCATCTGATGCGGAATTCAGCGTCTACGATACGCTCAAATCAAGTCTTGTGGCGATCATCAGCACCCTGCCTCCTTATGCTGTTGCTAAGTTGGATGGTCACCAGCTGTCTGAATTGAATATCAGCCAGAAGATTTTGGTTGATACTCCCGACTATAACGGTACCATGGAGAAGGACGACTTTACTTTGTCACAGGAAAGGGCTGCAGCACTGATGGCAGCGACCACTGCGGCGAACCGGAATTCCACACCCTCTGCCCCACGACCTCCTAATTACCAAGGGTCTCAGTCTGGCTATAACCAGCGTGCTTTTGCTTCCAACGCCCGTCTTTCACAATCTCAACCCGGTTTCCAGGTCACCCCTCAGCATGTGCGCCAATCTTCAGCACAAACCACATACACCCAGGCTTATGGTTCGGGTCGTCCACCCAGTACACCCGGCCAACAACGCCCCGGCCATCCCTCTCAATACTCACAATCGAGCCAGGGCACCCAGTATCAGCGCCCCGCTCCTAACGGATATTATGCCGCACAGCAAGGGCAATCATCCCAAGGTACACCACAACCCTATACAGCACGACCTGGTCAGCCAGGTTTCAACGCCACGCCACAGGCCCGCACGCCCTACACCCCCGCAGGCTCAACCCAACCCCAACGAGTCCAGTACTCAAACCAAACCCCTTCCCAGGCAGGCTTTGCTGCGAATTCCGCAGCAGCTGCTACATATGCCCGCAGTGCCGCGGAACAGGCTGCATTGATGGACCGTAACAAGGCCCAGCTGGCAGCTCAGCAGACGAGACATAGCCCATCAACCCCACAGCCACAGGGTCTGGAGTCCCAAGAGGACAGCGCAACACCGGGAAGCAGGCAGAATGGTACCCCTGCTTAGGTACAGGTTATGCTTATCTTATTTCATTTGTTTTTGCTTCTATCTGAGCATGCTTCGGGGAGCTCAGAAAGCAAAAGTTTAGTCTTTCAATGATTCAACATTGCATTCTGCAATCGGGTTTTCTTCATTTCCTCGCTTCATGCTCTAACTTATCCTTCTCCGACTGTGTTGTTAATGAACCTTTTGATCTATGGCTGTGTATGATGATTTTATTCTTATTCGGTGTTGTATTATGGCCTAACTCAGCGACTGGCGTGGATGGTCCTTTTTTCTAAGACGGGGTTACGATGCAGTTCTATCTCTTCTTTTTGTTGCTCGGTTTAGAAAATCAGTCATTTTTACTTTTTTAAAGGCAGTTCGATCCATATACAGTGGCAATCCAGGGTATTTCAACTTTCAAGTTATGTGCACTGTGCTGTGAAGTTATCGCTATTACAACATGATGTTGTCAAGTAGAAGACCTCATGGTTGGTGGTTACCTTGGACTATACAGATCACTACAGATCATCTCGTGCGTAAAGTCGTAGCCAACAACGTCTTGTCAAAAGATTACCTTGATTCACTCCTCATAATACAGTGAATAGCATAAAAGCCGAACATATCAAACACCTATCCTATCTTCCAGTCCATCATCCAACCCAATGCCCATAGTCCATAGTCCATGCCAACAAGGCCGAGACACTTATATGCCAAACTCCGTCTCCCTGTGTCCCAAATTCTCACATCTAACTGTGCAGTTTTGATTACACACAGAATGTCCCTTGCCCTCGTCATTCCTCGCCAAATTAGAATGGATCATCGACATAGCACAAAATTAAAGCATAGGAGATTCGTTAATCATAAGAAAACAACATAAGAATCAGGGAATGAACATGGCAGCGATGGTCATGAACCCAAAGTATCTGTAAAAGAGTCAGCGTCATTCAACACAAGACCAATGTAAAAAGGTAAAGCAAAGCAAAGCAAACATACATAGTAGCACACCGCCACCCATCCCTCGAATCAACAAGAGTATCAATACCAGCCGAATAATTCGCTGCAATGGCAGCCGCCGCACCGCCAACGACAGTCACAACGACAAGACGGCCCGAAAACTCGGCAATCATGCTAAATGCCAATAGCGGTAGAAGCAGTGCGCCGGAAGCAATGATGATCGCAACGTAGACAGGGGCCGCAGCGGCTCCTGCAGCTAGTCGCGGCGTCAGGGACACGAGATCAGCATCGTGGTTCAAGAATCGAGTTTCGGCTGAAGCGATGGGATGTTTTTCTTTCATCCAGGTGCGGTAGCCGTCGATGTCTTTTCCTGAGGCTTTGGGTAGGGTTTGGAGAACTTTGCTGTAAGAGCTCAGGGCATTGTCTGGGTTTTGTTAGGGTTGGTTTTTTTTCTAATGGAAGCGTGGGCTTAATGTGATAGGGCTTACTATATTGCTCGGTCTTCTGGATTAGGGCACCCATGAGATCCATGCGGCGGTAGTGTAGTGACGAATAGACCTGAGCCTGGGAGTCGCGCCGTCTGGAAGCGGGTAAGGGCTTTGTGCCTTCTTGCTCTGCTGTGCCGATTCGGTGCATTTCCTCGTACTCGTCTAGGGTGTGGAGGTCTTCTTCCATTTGGGAGATCTCATCCTGTAGGTGGAGGAGGACGCGGTGGTTGACGCTTTCGAAGCGTCGGTATAGAGGGGGAAACCTGGTTTGTCTTCTGGGTTGGACTTGGATAGGTGTGAGGCAATGAGCCCGTAGCCTGATGAGACCTGGGATGTAGTTGAGTCTCGTCTCTTTGTTGGCGTGGTGTGGTGAAGACCGTCTTCGGGGCTTCTTGGGGGAGACGGGGGCAGCGGTGGTCTGTGGAGAGCAGCCTCGTCTCTGGTATAGTAGCCCTCTGGGCGAGACAGTTCTAGTTGTCCCTTTCCAGACGTTGGGTAACTGGTCGAGATTGGACTTGGCTTTCGGTTGGTTTGCTTCCGGGCTATCTGTAATTGATTGCCCGTGGAGGGAGCGTGGGGTGCTGAGGGCCGGCGCTGTTGCTTGGGACTTTTCGATGCTGGAGGCGAGGGAACAGCATTCTTTGGAGATGCATTGCCTCCTGATACCAAGATCCCATGTGGAACTGGATTTGCCCGCGGCTTAGGGGATTGGATATTGGTGGTAGTTTGCACAGGTCGTGGAGATGTCGGTTGTTCATCCTTTGATGAGTCCGACTCTGATGACTCTGACGAATCCGAGGTTGCTTCGGATGAGGAGTCGTCATTTTCGTCAAGAAATTGAAATACATCAGGTACTTTCTTCGCCGAACTTGCCGGTTTCTGCGGTTGGGTCTCGGAAATGGCAGGCGGCTTTGTTTGATCTGATCCAGCCTGTTGTGAAGGCGACGCTTTCTCAGAAGTTTTCACACTGGCGACAGGACCATGTACATTTGTGACATTGGAAACTGTCGATAATGTCCTCTTCCTTCCATCCTTCTTTGTTCTCTGGATTTGGAGCGGCATGGTGGTCGGGGAAGCTCGGAACTATACCGGGTTCATATTTCGATATAGATATCAAGGCTGCCCACGTATAGGAATAGAGAATCTAAGGAAAGTGAAAGATCATGACACGAACACAATAATTACATCCGCACCGGAATGAGTAGAATCCGACGCATGGCCCAGGGGAGGGAATTTCAGGTCTCAGATCGAGGCCGGGAATCTAGGGGCGATGATGAAAGAAATGATATAATGTCTCCAATCTTCCCCGCGAATTCCTTCAAACATTCCCCATGATAAGGTGTGTATGGCCCCCTGGGGCTGTCAGGTAAGATTATTATAGAACATTAGCCCCCAATGTTCGCGCGTCAGCGGGCTGAAACGGGCCCCATGTGTTTACCCTGGGGTAATGGAGGACTGCAATTCGTCACACCAGGCAGTTCGGGATAATCTGAAGCAGATTGGAAGCGCTGAGGGCTTCAGATCGGCGCCAAATGGTAATGTCGCAAGGAGGTCCCTGTATCCCTGTCGATCGAGGGGGAGGGGCTTCGGATCTTGTTCCTTTCTTCTGTTCTGTTTCGGGTGTGTCGGGATAGTAAACATAAAAAAGTGACTATTTACCGACTAGTGACATCGATAACCTTCTGGACACTTGTGGGCCTCCAACAAATGGGATGCGAATCAACGCATGTGTGTCTGAACAGAGTTAGAAACTATGCGTTGGTCGATCTCCTTGCGTTCATCTAGCGGTCAGGAAGTGGGGGAATGTGACTGATTTTTGTGATCAGTACAACGCCACGGTGCATGTTCTGCATGCCTGGTCTGCAGAGTCTTTGTGTCAAGAATGTATTGGTGGTGGGTGCATGTTCATATTCATATATGAAGTAAGTTAGAGAACAATACAGTATACTACTCCGTACTCCGTACTCTATAGATTATACAAATAACAATTTCAAGTTCAATAGAATTGAGTTTGGTCTGATTCCTCCAATTCTACCAGTCAGACCATTCCTAATTACTTTGGTTTCTTACCTGTAACTTGTTGCGTTGTATGATCTGCAGATCGCCAAGCCCGGAGCTTCGATTCCGCGAGTTCACCTTGGCCACCTCTTCCGACTCCAACACCAGCCCAATCTCCTCATGCTTCGGCCATGGCTCGGTAGCGGTTCTGTCCGCTCTATTTGCGCGCGACTCAGTCGCCCAACCCTTCCTTACCGTATCGCCCCGTTCTCCTCCGCTCCAAGACGCTATCTCCAAGCAGATCACGTCCCCCTCCGCAAACAACTCAAGCAGGATGCCAAAGCGTTACGGTCACACAAGAAGCAACGCAAGGAAAGCGAGGAAGCATCCAGGCAGGAATGGGAACTGACAGTTGGCGTGGAGATCCATGCCCAATTGGATACAGAGGCCAAATTATTCTCACGTCAGTGCGTCTCTACCCCAATTGCTCTGCAGGCATCTCATGGTTTGAACAGGAGCCCCAACCTCGACAAGCGAGATCCCCAATTCCAATGTCGCTTTGTTCGACCTGGCATTCCCGGGGAGCCAACCGGTTGGTGTTATGTACCGCTTGTGAAGGACCACAACTGATACGAAACAGGAATTTCAAATCGCAACCCTCCTCCCTGCCCTACGTGCCGCTATTGCTCTGAACTGTGAGATCCAGCCTATCAGCCGGTTTGACCGGAAGCACTACTTCTACCAGGATCAGCCGGCGGGGTATCAGATCACACAGTACTATGGTTAGCACCCTCGCTCTCGGGATTCGAACCATACTTATCTCTCACAGAACCATTCGCACGAAACGGCTACGTCGACCTATTCGATTACGATGGCATCGCACCGGAAGATGGGGAACGGGTCCGCATCGACATCAAACAGCTACAGTTGGAGCAGGACACAGCCAAGTCCCAAGAATACCCGCCCTCGACACAACTCCTCGACTTCAACCGTGTTTCACATCCGCTGATTGAAATCATCACCATGCCGCAGATTCACTCACCCGCTACGGCTGCGGCATGCGTTCGGAAACTCCAGGCCATAGTCCAATCGTGTGGTGCTGTGACGACGGGAATGGAACTTGGCGGTCTCCGTGCAGATGTCAACGTCTCCATTCGACGCCGGGGGGAGTCACCAGGACAACATCAATACGATGGAATCAGCGGGCTAGGCCAGCGTACTGAGATCAAGAACTTGAGCAGCTTCAAGGCAGTAGAGGATGCTATCATCGCCGAGAAGAACCGCCAGATCGCGGTACTCGAGAGTGGCGGTGTCATCGAGGGGGAGACGCGTGGGTGGACAATTGGCAGCACTGAAACTCGCAGGCTTCGAGGAAAAGAGGGCTCGGTCGATTACCGCTACATGCCCGACCCAGATATCCCGCCGTTGTTCATTGGAGAGGACCTGCTGTCCAGCCTTACCGAAAATCTCCCCACGGCACCAGACTCCATCATCTCAGTGCTCGTCGGATCCGAATATAATCTGCCCGTCGAGGACGCCAAGCCACTGATCGAGCTAGACAACGGTCTCCGCTTCGAGTACTACCATGACGTGGTAGATGCCCTACGCACCCTCCAGGTGGACCAAGACGACAAAACGCGTGCCAGTCTCCCACGCATGGCAGGTAACTGGGTTTTGCATGAACTCGGAGGACTTTTGTCCAAGGCAGATCGCGCATGGGATGCGGACATCGTCCCGGCCCAGTCCCTGGCCCGCCTCCTCGACCAGCTACAGCGCAAGCGGATCACCGGGCCGACCGCCAAGGTGGTTTTGTCCACTATCTTTGATGGCGACCGCCGACCAGTCCCACAGATCTTGGAAGAGGACAATCTCCTTTTCCGCCCTTTGTCGCGGGGGAGTATGTGGCGCTGGCGGAGTCCGTCATCGCCCTGAACCCACAAATGGCTGAGCAGATCCGCTCCAAGAACCAGCTGGGGAAGCTCGGCTGGTTCGTGGGGCAGATGATGCGCAACGGCGAGAAGGGTCGAGTGGAGGCCCCCAGGGCAGAGGAAATTCTCCGAGAGCTGATTCTGGGGTCTTAGTGTATATATATATATATATTGTAACATTAGATGTACTATGTGGTAGTAATGATACCCTTTGACGCTGTCAACTTCTACTTCCGATTTCAGATCTAGTCTTTTCCCCTTGTATCGTTGTATATGATCAATGTTGTCGATATCCACCAATATCTGCACCTCCACCCTAAACGCCAACCACCCGGGCAAACAAGACCAAATAACTCTCCAAAGCCATTACACATAAATCCCGCATGCCTCCTCTCTCAATTACGCCCTAACACAGCCTGTGGGACACCGAAATGGCCTAAAAGGGGCAGCTCTCCTCGACCTGTACTTAGCGGAAGTGATGGAGATCCGGCGGAGTCGCTCTGATCCCTAAAAGCAGTTTTTAGCGACTTTGGGGTGCAACGCGCAAATGAAAGGGGCGACCGGTTGAACTCGGGGGATCAGAGACATTTAAGAAGAGCTGGTCATCCTGTTCTTTTCTTTATACAATAACTAACGACTACATCCTTCTCTACTGGAACTTGAACGAAGATCGAGCTGATCCTTATCAATCCCACTTTTTATCTTATCGCGATCTCTCGATCAGTTTTCCATCTTTCTCTCTCTTCTGTCTTCTGTTGCTCTACGATACATTCCTGTGATACCTACACGATGACGCTGCCCTCTACTATCGCCTCGCGCTTCCTTTCCCACTCCAACCAGCTGGGCGTGGTTGCCGTCGGTTTCAACGGTGGTCAAGTAAGACCCTCTACAAGACCAACATGAGCTCAACTCACCCCCAACAGTGCAAGAAAGGCGTCGAAGCAGCCCCGATGGCCCTGATCGAATCAGGCCTTCTCACCCAACTAAGCGAAGACCTCGACTACGAAGTCCACCATGACAACATAGTCCACTACTACGAGCAGGACATCCCGGCCGAAGACCCGGACCACCGAGGCATGAAGAAGCCGCGTGCCGTCAGCGCCGTGACAGAGAAGCTCAGCTCCCAGGTCTACAACCACGCCAAGGAAGGCAAGTTCGTGCTGACCCTCGGCGGCGACCATTCCATCGCCATCGGCTCCGTCTCCGGCACAGCCAAGGCTATCCGCGAGCGTCTCGGCCGCGAAATGGCCGTTATCTGGGTCGACGCCCACGCCGACATTAATACCCCCGAGACGAGCGACAGCGGTAACATCCACGGTATGCCCATGGCGTTCTTGACCCGGCTGGCCCGGGAGGAGAAGCGCGATATCTTTGGGTGGTTGCAGGATGAGCATATGGTTAGCATGCGCAAGCTGGTGTACATTGGTCTGCGTGATGTCGACCGTGGAGAAAAGAAGATCCTCCGCGACAATGGTATCAAGGCATTCAGCATGCACGATATTGACCGGTATGTTTTTGTGTTGTTTTCTCTTGGTCTTGGGTGATCATCGTCTAACTTTGCCAATAGTCACGGAATCGGTCGTGTTGTCGATATGGCTCTTGCTCATATTGGCAATGATACTCCCATTCACTTGTCCTTCGATGTCGATGCTCTGGACCCCCAGTGGGCTCCTAGCACGGGCACCCCCGTCCGTGGTGGCTTGACCCTGCGCGAGGGAGACTTCATCTGCGAGGCTGTGCACGAGACGGGCAACTGTATCGCCATGGACTTGGTGGAAGTGAACCCTAGCCTGGAGGCCAAGGGCGCCTCAGAGACCATCCGCGCGGGGTGCTCACTGGTGCGGAGTGCATTGGGCGACACTTTGCTGTAAGGGATAATAAAGGGAAAGGGAATAAACAAACAGAGAGAAAAAATTCCTAGATCAATAGACACAATTTCGCAAGAAAAGTCCCAAGTGCAGGTAAAAGTAAGAAGTGACGACGCGGCAGACTAGATCCCCTGCCACCTCAATTTCCCGATCAACAAACCCCCCTCTCTTTATTTTTCTCCCTAAACCCTCGATAAACATTCTCTTGGCTATTCTTTCCTTCACTTTTCTCGGGGAATTCATGCGCAATCGTACATTTGTACATTCCACCGTCGCACCAACTCCAAGCCAACTCCAGCCTATCTCCACATAGCGCGAAGACGCCCAATGCGCTGTCCGCTCCCTAACACCTAATAACTCACCTTCGGTACGATCAAACAAAACCTCGCTGTACAAATCCACCCGGCCGACCTCTATTCGCGCTTCGTCTATTCCCTCTGGGTCCAGCGACTCAACATAGGGCATCGAGACTTGCGTCGGGCATTCGGGAGTGTATACAACGGACGAGACGGGCAGTGGTATAAAGCGCTCACCAGGGACTGGATCCACACTCAAGTCCGACCTCATTCAAATCCTCGACACACATCCAAACATACAACAAACGAACAACTTCGATATCTGGAATCGCTCCATTCTCAATATACACAATGCCCATTCGCATCCGCCATGAAGCGCGCCGCAAATACCACTGGCCCGAGTTACAACTCAACATCTGGATCATGATCGTCATGTCATGTTCAGCGACATGTCTGGGTATTTTCTCGTGGTTCATGACTGTTCAATCGCAAATGCATCTCGGGACGCCTTGGTAAGTGGTCATATAATACTTTGCAGTTGCAGCCCTATCCAACCGTATACATACATGTACTAAGAAACCCCCGCCAGGCTCTTCCCCTACATGGTCGTGACAAGCGCTCTAGGTGTAGCATTTATCCTCCTCGTTCTCGTTCTCGCCGAGCGTCGATTCCTCTTACCCGGCATTATCATCATCGGCAGCTTTATACTCTGCGTGTTATGGTTGACTGGTTTGATTGAGACCTCGCTGCAGCTTTATGGGATTGTCGGTGATGTCAATGCCAATTGCCAGATCTATGTGGAGAATAATAAGTCTTGGGGGAATAATATCAATACTTTGGCTTGGTTGACCCAGAGTACGATTTGTAAGTTTCTCTCGACGCTTGCATACCGCTATACACTGTGTATTGTATTCATTACTAACTGGCTTGGGTTTTAGGCAATTGCTGGAAGACTGCTTTTGCGTTGGAACTTGTCAATACTATCTTCTATTTATGGATGATCGTTATGTCTTGGCAGGTTAATCGTGATGTTTATGATTGATTCATGTCCCTTTTTTGATACCATGTGTTGCATCTTTGGCGTTGAGCGATATACAGCATTGATTTCTTTAAGTATATATTTCTTGGATAGTGACTTGGCTTATCTGTTTATACTTCAATCTGAGAGGATTGCACCTTAATCTACGCATCAGCATGCTTGTTGGGTTCACTATGAGGTAGAGACCAAGGTTTAATTAAAAGAGAGTAGAATAGCCTGAGACTGTTTTAAACAGCTAATGGGTCCTATATATAAACAACCATACAAATAGCAGATAAACAAATTTTCACAAATTACACACAAGAAAAGAATAGAACCCACATTGACCACAACACAAAGCCGAAAGCCAGATGCGAAGAATCGAATGACCATAATAAACGCCGTCGCTATGTCAGGAGCGCATTGCAACCGCACACACCGTTTACGCGAACATGGCAGAAAGAGACCATGAATAAAAGACAGGACGAACGGGGGACACAGGAGTAATGAACAGTCATTTAGTTTATCCATTCTCAGCCGCGATATCCTCTTCCGCTTGAGGGTCATATGCTCCACCCTCCAAGGCAGCGAGCATTTCCCGTTCTAGCTCGTCGTCATCGTCATCGGGGTCAGCATTCTGATCACGACCTCCCAGAGTTTCAGAATCGGACTCGTCTTCTTGCGGACCTGACGGGACTAATGTATCTTCCCCTCCGGTAGGGGCCGAGACGACTTCCCGAAGCCCGGTATTCCGCTCGTACGAGCGTTTAATGCGTTGCGACAATCGGGAGCCTCGTTTTTCTTCATCTCCGTCGTCGTCACCGGATTCTTCTTCGTCGGTCCCGCTCTCAGTTCCGCGTTTCCGCTTCGTGCCAGTCCCCGCTGTCTCGTCTGGTAATGATTCGTTGTCACTCTCGCTTTCATCGTCGCTGCCGAGGAAATCTTTTAATTCGTCGTGCACGGCGGCTTGCTCCTCGGCATCGTATCCAATGGGCGACGTTGAGTCTAGCCCGGATTCATTCATGAAGCCTTCGGCATCGTCACCCTCTGTCCACTGAGAGGCATTCGTGTCTTCGTCTGTTGAGGAGAGCCAGGCCATTTCTTGTTCTCGGGAGCCTGGGGAGAGAGGTTCGCCGCGGTCATCTGGGTGGACGGGGAGTAGGTAGGGTTCCTCGTCCACGTGTCTCCACTGGACCAGTGAGTCGACAAGCCATTGTGTCGTGACGATCTTGATGTCTGGGTAGCGAGTGGCTTCCCTCACCTTGGCAGTGCGGTTGCGGCCAGCTACAAGGTGAGTTGTGCGGGCGTTGACCTTTGGAGAGATGATCACACCGAAGCTCTTGGCCCAGAGAGAGATGTCGGCATTCTGGAAGTCTGTTCCTAATGGGAGGACACCCGAGAATACCAAGACTACTCCTCCGAGGATGCGGCGTTTGATCTGTGGCATGATATCTTTGACATCAGGAACCAGTTTCAGATCCACATCTTTGTCTTTCGATGGGACCTTCTCTCCCCTTAGAGCTGCCACCCGACCCCCGAGTGCGAGGGTCCGCTTCTTGTCATATTCGTCAAAGAATTGTGTATGTACTTGTTCAAGTCGGTTTTGTAGCTGGAAGAGTTCTTGGTCGTGGTCCTCGAGTAGGTGGTGGCGGTGTTTCATAGATTCCTGGGAGTCTTCCATGCTGGAAGTTGATTCGTTGCTTTCAGCTACCTCATCTTCTGCCTCCAGTTCCTTCTGTTTCTGCAGCAGAGGTCTGTCTTCCACCTGGTGTAGTATGGTCTCTTCTTGTGCATTAGTCTGCTCCTGGAGCAGCCTTGGGTCACCTCCCATTGTCACTAACTGCTCCAATGCTGATACCTCCGTCCCTGCTTCAGACTTGCCATTGACATGGTGTTCTTTCTTCTTCGCGGGCTCTTTGGGTTGGATCGCTTGTTGTTTCGCTGCAATTTCTTGCTTCTTTGGCAAGAAGCTCGAATTGATATCGCCAATTCCGACGAAGAAGTCATAAGGAGAGACCTTGATGAGGTTGGGACTCCAGCGCCACACGTCACCGCGATCGTCGATAATAACCACCATCTTGGTGTCCACGGGGAAGAGCCGCTGCAGGTTCTTGGCGGTCAAACTTCCACTCTCGTCACGACTGAGGATTCGATCTCCGAATAGCTTGCGGGTAGGATCAACAATATCAGCAATGTGTTGAGCATAGGCTCGAGTGCCCATAGTGTAGATATGCAATTCATAGATCTCAGCCACATTTTGCAGAAATTCCTCGAGTCCCGGCCGGAGCTTGATATAGTACCAGCACCCGCGCATCCCAGGACCGTCGTCAATCAATTGAAACTGTCGCACATCGCGCAGTGCTTCATGGTTAGGGTTTTCCTTGTCCTCCTTCCATTCTCCAACTGTCGGATCGACAGTGGCATGAATAATTGTTTGATCAAGATCTACCACCAAAGACAAACGTCTCGATGCAAGTAGCCGGCGCTTCGCATCCTCTTCCACTCGGGTTGCTTCCCGCTGACTGACAGTCAGCGTGGTGTTATCATGTGTCATCTGAATCGGAGCGCGCGTGGAATCCATGATCTCAGTATTGTATGTGGACCTGTTCACGAAAGCGATTAGCCATATTCACCCCGATTATTCGACATATACATACTGAGTCATATCCTTGCCACACTCCGCGCATAGTCCGCCGAATTGGACCTCATGCGCACAAGGCTCATCGATTTCAACAATATCAACACTGGGGAGTGATCAGACAAGAATTAACAAAATGTAACAATTGACCAATACTCACGCGTCATCAATAACATCCCCCTTTCTGATTTTCCATTGAACGATTTCTCCATCGGCAGTCGACTCATATCTCGCTGGAAACTTCCGCAGGACATCGGTCCTGTTCCCGAATTCATCACCTTCCGTGACCATCGTCTCATACGAATACCAGAACAGAGCCTCATCCCTCTCAATCGGATCGCCAGGCTGCTTGAGCAGCGACGTCACCGTGATTGGGTAGTGCAGACCGGACGGCAAACGAAGAAGCATGATGGCTCTGAGCTCGCCCCAGACGATAAATTGCGTGAAGTCTCAGTCCTACTCCCAAGGTATTCGCATAGAATACCCGCTGTGCCTTTTTGTTGTGAGCGGCGCGTCAAAAGCGGACGTGTGGGTCGTATGAGGTGATCGCGTGCGATGCCGGCTACGAAGCCATCACCAACACGCGACGCGTGAAGAACGAAACGAATACAGGTATTGCTCTAGCGAGAGTCACCTCTGTCACTTGAGATGCAGGCTGTCTTGGGAGGGTCTGAGGAAACGAAGAGGTGGTAGAGGTGGTTTAGGCAGCGCGATGAGAGAATCGCCACAAGGCGCGGGTGATCAAAGATCAAAGAAAACTCGTGCGCCTAGCACAACCTGGCGCGGAGGTCAAAGACAGGTCCCGCACCAGGCGCAGGAAATTACTTAAAGTCAAAGAGGGAAGGAACGTTGGTTGGAGTTTGCTGCAATCAAAGAAAGAGAAGCTCATTGAAGTTGTGCGGGGACAGACCTGGAGCCTTTCGAGCTTCCGCTTATGTCATTACAGTATCTAAAAACAGGTATTGGTCTCACTCCTTGGTTTGAGATCGACTTCGTTCACTTTTCTTGCGTGGCCTGATGAAATGACTCAATGAACTATTTGTAGGTGTGCCTGGGGTGTAACATCTACGGTAACGTTTAGCCGCACTGGTGACCTCCATGTTGGAGCATGCCATGTCTCACCGCCATACAGTTGTGTTTAGCCTACTTACATCGGTTCGTTTCGGCTTTGCGTATTAGTAGGACTAATTGATGTTATTACACCCATGCATTGAAAAGGACTATAACAATAGTATGGAAAAGAGCAGTAGAAAAAGTATACTTGACCACAGCATGTATCAGAAACTTGTTCGTGGATTGGTGCAGTCTGCACCTTAAATCGACATTAGCTCCGGCCAATTGTCACTTAAGTTATGACTACGTCAACTCAGATATCGGGAGATAGTTCATAGGAGCAAGCTTGATATAGCCAGCTTGGTATACAATACGAGGGCAGGAGAGCGGGTTCAGTAAATGAACTAATTGCAATGGGTAAATACTAACGCGTAAAGAGATCAATTCGCAGTACCAATAAACCAAATGCCTCATGATAGACTGTGACAGCAAAGACAAAAGAGGAGTTTAGTCAACGTAGTCGCAGCAATTGCAAATGATCAAGTGCGCTACAAGGGCTATGGGGTCAACCCAGCTAGGCCGCAGATATATATGAAGCAAACATTTAGTCACACGGATCTTTGATATTCACAACTCATGGGGGCCATTAAGCCTTGGCGCACTTATTTGGCCTTGGCCAGACCGACAGCGCTGTTGCCGAGGTCGTAGACACTGTACCAGCGACGCAGGAAAGAATCACCAAGGATAGCCAGGGGACCCACAGGCTCGGGGAAGTCCATGCCCATGAAGCTACTGATGCAAGAGCCCTGGACCTCCAGGATGTAGTCATAGGGGCCAATGGTGAACTCGTGGCCGGCCAGGGTGAAGGTGAGGTCGGGAAGAGAGTCACGCTTGTCGCACTCCACGGTGTACTGACCAGTGAACCCCTTGGTAGCACCGATCTCCTTGTTGCTTTGGAAAGGGTTAGCGAATTCACAACATCAATCAGGGATACACGTACAGAAGCTCGGCCATGGTTGAAGGCAGAGCAATGAGAGAGGTACCAGTGTCCAGAATGACACCGGTATCCTCAAGCTCAGCAACGTTGTCGCCAAGAGCAATGGCGTTGAGCTCAACTTCCCAGTAGGCCTTGCGGCGGAGAGGGATCTTGATCATCTCGCCAGTGTAGTGGCTCTTATCAACACCACCGAAAGTGGCCTCGGAGTTGTCACCCTCCTTGTTGGCATCGCCCAGGTAGAAAGCAAATACGGGCTCATCCAGGAGCTTCTGGTTCAGCATGTTGTAGAAGGGAGGAACCATCTTGTTGACAGAGATGGTGTCGTAGCCAAGGCCGAGAATACCATCGAAGCGACCGAAGGCGAATGCCAGGCCAGGCTCACTAGTAGCCTCAGCAAAGTCCTGACCCTTGACCTTCAGGTCACCGATCTGGAGTGTGTCCTTAGACACGAAGCCGCTCAGGCTACCAGATCCATAGCGGATCTCGAACTCAGTACCGTTCTTCTCGTAAGTGCTCGAAGCAGACGAGTCGTACTTGGTGTGCAGGTAGCAAGCGATAGAGCTGCACTGCTCGGAGGGGACCCAGAGGTTGGAGCTACCAGTGTCCAGGACGACCTTGAAGCTCTGGGGAGGGGTACCGATCTGGATCTCGGAGAAGTCTGGAAAGGATCAGTATCGTCAACATTCAGTGTCTAGAGCCCGTTGGCATGCAACATACACTGAGCGTTCAGGAAGTTGTCAACCAGCACATCGTGGCCGGCGGTAGGCTTCATCGACGTGTCGCGGAACCGGTCATGGTGCTCCTGGCCCATGTACTTCTGGCCCAGGCCGGCCATATGAGCACCGAAGTTTTGAGGGCTCTACTTCGCGGTTAGCTTAGGTATGCTTTAGGCATCAATGATCCTACCAGTGTCTCATCCAGAGGGACCTTGTTGAGCTTGAGCTTGTGAACCTCAGCGGCAGCACTGCCCAACAGCGAAGCTGTCAGGAGGGTGAGTGACGACTTCATAATTCAATATCAATAGTGTAAGTGGAAGTGATGGTAAACAAGAGAGTGAGATGGAGAGGAGAGAGATAAGAGCAGATGGGGGACCTGGGGATGAGGAGACCGATGACGGAAGCAGGAGGGTCGCACTTGGCACTAAACCCCTTTGGGACGTTCCCATATCACGCGGTTCTGGTTTCCGAATTCCAGACCTTCATGTGTTCCATTTTCCTATATTTTTCATCTCTACTAGTTAGCTCGCATAATTCTATCCATATTGCCTGCAGGTTGGCAGCAACCGGGGGAATATCTGGGGGCTAGTGCCTGGGGAATTAGCGCCATTGACGGAGTGGTCGGACTAGTCGGAAAACCCCCCTCCCGCTGTACCTGGCAGCTGCAGGATGACTGGTGTGGCGAAAAGCTACGCTATGGATGATGCTGTTTCTACGAAATCAAGGAATCGTGCCGATGTCGTGTCACTTTGAGGGATTTCTTGTACGTGTAAGCTTTGGACATATGTCTCTGTGCGAGGGCAGACAGTTCTTTTGCCTTGCATCGAAGGATCGCGTGCCTTTGCAGGACTCTTGGACACAACAGCTGCCTTTCTGCAGACTGCCATGGCTACCTTGCCGTGGCTCTGGCAACGGGCACGAGGGTTCTTTGTGCGCCATTGGTCTTCTACGGAAGCTACCAAGCACCTCAAGGCCTTGTTGCAACAATAGCATGGCCCTTATTCTGTGCTAATTTTGAAGCAAAAGGTAAAACGTAAAGCCCAGCGTGCTCTTGAGAGTAAAGTGTTCCGAATCCAGACGTATATACTTCGATACAGTATCACCCGCGGATATATATACTTGGTAGAGTACCGTGAGAATCGCGACAACAAATCGTCGAATCACAGCCTTTCCTCACCAGAGTCACAACAAAATACCCCAATGTAAATTACACTAAACAAAACGGTTATTGTTGGCTACTAGTTTACAGGGACGGTTTAGTTGACCGAGGGCAGGTAAATGCCAAGACAAGGCAATCTACCACTGTAGAGGTCGAAAGGAGCATTACAGAATCAAGAAATCGTCCAAACATTGTGACACATGGCGCCTGCATATTATTGATAATACAACTGGTGAGGAAGACCAAGCTTTCGTCACTGAAATCCACCACACCTCCGAGAGACCCAAGCGTTTACCGGTAGAAGTCAGGGCTGCAAGAAACCAATTAGTAAGATATGAAGACCAATATCTCAGGGAAAGCACATACCGGTCATCGTCCTGTCCATTCTTGACTTGAACGGCATAAGCATCCTCAAGGTCCGACTGGATAATGTTGTAGCGGTTCTTGCGGACAGCCCGCAGACCAGCTTCCTGCATGATAGCAGCAATCACAGCACCGGACAGGGGGTCGTTGCGCACGATCAGGGCGTCGAGGTCAACCTCGGGAGAAAGCGACATCTTGGATGCGATGGTGGTGAAAATCAAGCGGCGCTCACGTCGATCCCGCAGGTTGGGGAACTCAATCTTTCGGTCCAGTCGACCAGGACGCAGAAGAGCAGGGTCCAAAGTGTCAGCTCGGTTGGTGGCCATGATGACCTTGACGTTGCTGGATTGTTCGAAACCATCCATCTGGTTCAGTAATTCCAGCAGAATACGCTGGACTTCACGATCGGCACCGGTCTGGGCATCGAAACGCTTGGTGGCGATCGCGTCGATCTCATCGATGAAGATGATGGCCGGCGAGTTTTCACGCGCCATGCGGAAAACGTCGCGCACCATACGGGGACCCTCGCCCAGATACTTCTGTACGAACTCTGACCCGTTGACACGGATGAAGCTGGCAGTTGTGCTGTTGGCCACGGCCTTAACCAGCATGGTCTTTCCGGTCCCAGGAGGACCATACAGCAAGACACCACGAGGAGGATCGATACCTGCAGATCATTAGCTGTGTTGTTGGAAACAAATTGATTCTCACCCACCAATCTGCTTGTAGAGGTCGAAATGCGTCAAAGGCAGCTCGACAGCCTCCCGGATCTCCTGCTTCTGCATATCGAGACCACCAACATCCGCGTATGTCACATCGGGCTTCTCATTCTCACCCAGCATGGCAATAGAGGAGTCGGCCTCGGGAGGAAGAATATCAACAAGGGCATTGGAGTGACGGTGAAGGGCGACCGAAGATGAGGGTTTCAGCTTCTCGCGGTCGAGGGTGGACAGGATGCGGACGACGTAATTAGAACCGGTCGAGCTTTGCACAATACCAGTGCTGGAAAGATTTGTCAGTAAAACGACCTTCAAATACCAAGAAACGGGATACGTACTTCTGATCGATAGCTTCCATAAACTGTCCGATGACCAGCGGCACACTCTGTATCCGCTTAATCTCCTCTTGTGCCCGAACCAGCTCCCTCTTCAAGCTTCTGCATTGGTCCATGATGGTTAGATACTGCAAGGCTCTCAACACCCGTATTAAAGATGCATACCTCTGCTCGTCCTTGATGTATTCCTCCTGCAGTTGGATATACCTGTGTTCGTCAGTACCTGATCACACCATCCATCAAGGTCAGACATACTCTAGATGTCTCTGTAGGCGCTTCAGAGTAGCATATTCATCGTTTCCATCAGCGCCTGTGCCATCGAGGGAGTCCAAGTTGGCGAGGGCGTCGAGCGCGCCTGGCTTGGGAAGCGGCGTGACGTTGTTCGCCGGGTTCTCCACGGCCACGTCTCCCATGGCGAATTCTGTTGAGAGCAAATGAGATCCGAAAGAGAAATAGCGTCTATAAGCTGGGAGTAGAATGTATGTGCTTTGGAGATGGTTGGGTGTATGACGCGCTGTGTGAAGGGTTCGGAGGTCAGCCATCTGGAGCTTTCGACGATATGGCCGGGGAGCTTGGTTGGGTCACGTGATATACAATGAACAAATGTTTTGGCCCATCAAGTGTTAACCTTATATTCCTTAGTGTTTTCATTGAATATGTTTTCATTGAATGTTCGAGAATACAAAAAAAAAAAATTAGTGTAAAGTCTTGTAGTATGCTAGTGTATAAACTATGGCAGGGTCAGTTGTTCTCACTGAATGTGGCAATTAACCTCGTATGGCAACCTGCTAAACCAACCCATTACCCCGAACTGTAATGCTTTTAACGCAAAAAGGCTATATTGGAGAGAAAGCACATATAAACCCATTATTATACCTGGTCCCCTGGCCACCTGAGTGTATCAGTTTGAGGCTACCAATGGTCAGACGCTAGCGGCTGCGGCGGACTCGACGGCCTGTGGCCAATGATGACATGTACAGCTCTTTTTGCCCGGGGTATTCGTTTCAAAGCATGTCAATTTGGGGACACGATCAGGTCCAACTCGAAAAGAGGGAGAAGATTGGACTGGAAAGACTTTGAGACAATAAGCTCAGAGACTCAACCCTTCAAGGACATGAAGATATGCTGATCCAATCACCTCTAGCGGTGGAGTGGCCCAACACACGGTGGGACAGGCACAGAACCATCATGTTCCCATGCGGATCGAGTCGGGTCCTTGCACGGCGGACTTGCTTTCTGCTTTTTTAGTTGTCTTCGGAGGATTGGGCGCGCATAGACACGATTATCAGACGCTAGTCCGAGCTTTATATAAGGAGAACCACTGGCCGATATGGCTCGATCCTTTTCCTTCCCTTCTCTTTCCCATATCCAAGAGAGCGGGATGTTGCCCCTTGGAACCCTATCCACCTTCACTGGAGTATATGATCTAGCCTCGGCGGAGACCGTTGGAATGGATCATCGTTCCGATTTACGAGACCCAACCTAAGTGGTTTTTTATTTTAATTTCTGCTCTGGCACAGAAGTTTTCTCTCTCTTCACACTCCCCTCACTAACATGGCTTTGATTATGGCCATTCCCCCAGGTTCAGACTGCCCAGGCTCAGGCTGCCAGCATAAGAGGCAAACTAACAAAAAGCCAAAAGCCCAAAGGACCCCAAAAAAAGACCTCAAAAAAGGGCATTAAAACACAGCCTTGAAAAATACCACGTACAAAAGACAAACTGACAAACTGATAACTAACAACTAACAAAACAAAAGTTGTACAGTGAAGGCCGGAAATGGCGGTAACCATTGAAAGCTCTGACCTGTCAGTAATTTTCCCTCATTCTCTCCACTTCCCCTTTCATCCCTAACTGAACGGCTCTGTGATCTCTGGTAAGTACGCCATTCTTACTGTTTTTATACTCCGTTTGCTTTTTCTGGTTTCCCCTTTGTTACTTGGTTACTTTACTTTACATCATTATTCGTTGGTGGCCACGCACCCCTTCCGCAGTCCACCTCTGCGCCTCACCTGTAGTTCATTTGTTTCTGGATTTGGAGCGTCTATTATCTTGGCCCTTAATAGCCCAGTGACGTTCCCCTCCACTAACACTACCCCAGCTTACCGAGGTGTCTACCTCTCCCCCCATATCCTATCCCTCCCCCCTTTCCTGTTTGTGGCCTCAGGCTCCCACCACGTGACCACCCATCTCACTCCAACCTCTGCCTTCATCCCATCACCGGGACCCGGCCTCAGTCATCCGTTCGCAAAGCGGAATTTTAGTGAATCCAGCCTTATCGGTATGTACCTTGTTCCCACCCCTCCCTTGCCCATTCTATGTATATTTTATATACCGAATCGGTGGTTTCTCCTCCCCCCACCGTCCCTTTGTCTCCCGTGTCGCGACCGCTTGCGCGACTACCCCAAACACCTCACCGACGCGTCTATCTGATCCTCAAAAAATCATTGGTGGTTCAGTCTCGATGTCTTTCGATGATTGAGCCTATATTTTTTATGCTGCACATCTTTGCGATGGCGCGTGGATCGTTCACATGCTGACCCCTTCCAGGTAGATGGGTTGGTAAAACCGCTCGACATGAATGCCTGGCTTGCCGACACCTCGAATATTCCTGGCCAGGATAATGGCGCCTTTCATCCTAACACGATAGACCCCTCAACTGCTTTTCTCCATGGCTCCCCGACTCAGGACCCATCCCAATTCCAGCGCATGTTCAATGGCATGTCGCGAAATGCCTCTCCGGGCTTCCACAACCCAAACCAGGTGATTCCATCAAAACGAACGCGACCGGAAGATGGCATGCCCATGTCGCCTAGGCCAGCACCGGGAGGCGTGACAGTGTCGCGATCTCAAACTCCCCAAGTGCCATATCCGGGGTATCAGGGTCCAGCAAATGGCAACGCCCAATTCCAACAACATCCCAACCCTTACCAGCATCTACAGCAAGGTGCATCTCCCAACGTGACGCAGTCACCTATTATGCAAGACTTCGACCAGCAAAGCATTCGCATGGCGACGGCTTCCCCTAGCCCTTTCTCGCCTGCCGGACCCCACGTTGGCACCCAGATGTCTCCGTCGCAGTCAGATAATGGAAACCGCGTACACACACCCCAGAACGGCAACTTTATGCAGGGACAGCAGTTCGGTGGTATGCCACAGGGGCCTGGAATGACCTCCGCAGCCGCTCAACCCTCAATGCAGGCGCAACAGTTTGGTGGCATGCCCCAAGTGCCAGCGGGATATCACCAAGCTCTGGCGAGTCAGCAACAGAGACTGCAAGCCATGCAGGCACAAAACCAGCCCCGGCAGATGAACCCCAACGCTGCAATGGCGGGACGGCCGGTTTCTGGGATGAATCCGATGGCCAATCCTCAACAAATGAGCGGGATGAGACAGATGGCACCGAATATGGCACAGAACATTCCGAAGCCCAGTAACCCAGAAGGATTCATGCGATCTCTCCAGAAATTTATGATGTCCCAAAACCTCCCGATTGACCCAAATCCTATGGTCAGTGGGCGTCCGATCAACCTCGTTCAACTTTATGCCTCCGTGATGAAGTTGGGAGGTTCGAAGAAGGTCACAGCAATGAATATGTGGCCAGTAGTCGCACAGCAGCTACAATTTCCGCAGATGCAGTTCCCCATGGCGGCCCAGGAAATTCAAAGTCACCATTCCAGAAATTTGGGCCCCTACGAACAAGCTTTCCTCAACTCGCAGCAAAAACTTGCGGGCCAGATGCAGCCACAAGGCGGTCTACCACGACAATCAAGTGACGCATCAGGGATGCAGTTCCAATCTCCCTCTGTGAAGCCAAGCCCAGGCTTTGATCAACAACAGCACATGACACAGTCCCCTCAAAACAACACCCCAACCCATAATAACGGCCAAATGAACCCAGCCAATGGATTTGCTACACCGACACCACGAGGTCAAAGCAGGCCAGGTCAGGCTGGACACCGACCAAGTATCTCTCGAAGCTCGCAACCCCCTGGCCCACCGACAGAAGGTGCTGCCGGACAATTCCCGGTTCCCTCTCCTTCGCAATCTGGTAAGGGTGTTACGCCAACCCCAGGGCAAACAGAAGCGAAGCCCGAGAAGTTCACCAAGCGACCTATTGAGGAGACCTTCAAACCTCTGGTTTTGAAAGGAGGTCGTATGCACGGTCCTATTGCTGTTGATGAGATGTACCAGATTGGCGACGACATCTCAAGACTCAAGCCAGACGTACCAGGATTTGGAGAATTAGGAATAGTCGATATCCACGCGCTGACCATGGGCCTCAAATCTGGGATGTTTGCCGAAATTCGAGTGGCACTGGACACCCTTACCACTCTTTCTGGTGAACCGTCCGTACAGATCTCCCTGGAGAATTGTGACGATCTGGTAGAGAGCCTGATCGACTGCGCAGAGGAACAGGTCGACCTGCTAGCGCAACATACCCCAGAGGAGTCTGATACCATGTCTTTACGTTCATACGACGAAATCACCCGGGATTGTCATGCTGAAAACACATCACTGAAAGATGTTCCTGAATTCGGGAGCATCGAGTATGAGCTTGACCGGGCTGTGGATCGGCTTATCTGTATCACCACCATCCTGCGCAACTTCTCCTTCAGCGAGACGAATTTCTTGCCTCTCGGTATCCCTCCTGTTGCTCAATTGTTTGGTGATGTCTTCCGCTATATGGGGACTCGCAAGATGTTCCTGCGGTCGTCTCTTAACACCTTGGACTTTATGAAAGACGCAGTGATTTTGTTGAGCAACCTGGCTCATGTTGTTCAAATCCCTGGCAAGGAGGAAGCACTGAGTTTGTTGACTTTCCTTCTTGCCTTTGCACCTGGTTCCGGATCTACATCTGCCTCTGGAAAAGTTATGTTTACGGCGTTCAATTCTTCTGTTGATCGATACACTCCGGCTGCTGTTGATGGCCTTGCCAAAATGCTGGCCAGAGACGACCCGAACCGGACATATTTCAAGGCTATCTTTTCTGGAGATGGAACTGCACCTCCCCAGCCAGAGCTCTTGACACGTGCATTTGGCCTTGCCATTTCCTGCGTCCCTGACAAGAAGCCCATGTCTGTCGTGGATGCACGTAAGGTCTTCCTGATGCAAGGCCTTTTGTCAGCCGATGTACTCACCACGTTTGCCGATGGTTCCCTTGCCCAAGCATGGCTTGACTCTGTCGACGGATTTGCTGTGCATCTCCTGCGCCTTTCCTGCGCACTGTGCACTGAGCGTATCCCACAAATCAATATGCGACAAAGAGGCCAAGCCGAAGCCGACGCATATGCCTTCAGCTCGATCGTCAACCGGGGCCTAGGCGTCCTCCGCCGACTCGCCGAGAAGTCAAAGCAGGTGGACAACACGGCCCCTCTCCGGGTCCCATCAGGAATCCTCCCCAGGAAGGAAAGCCTGCTTGGCGCATTGTTACTTCCCAATATTGATGGCGGTGTTGTTCGCCAGCTTCTCACATATGCTCGGTTAGCGGAGTAAGGATGTTGATGTTTATATGATTCCTCCCTGCGACGGGCTGTTTTATCAATCATCCTTGGCACATGCCTCACGTAGCATATACGACAATCTTGATTTCTCTCATGTCATTTGTACTCATGTCAATTGTCTGTCTCCCTATTTTCTCATTTGGGCGCTGGTGGGCACGGGGGTTATTCCTTTCCTCTCTATTCTTTTCTTCTCTTGTGAGATAGCGTTCTGCTCTGTTTCAGTGTACAATGCTCAAAATACCCTCGGAAATCGAGAGATACTGCATGATGCCAAAGCTACTCCCTTTACTTGGTAAACACAGTATCTTGTACGTAACGCTGTATGCTCATTTCATGTTGTCGTAGTCGGTCAGATATTTTACTTTTGCCCGGGACATTGTCGGACGCATAATCCAGGTTCTGGGCCTACTTGGACACAAAGCATTGCAGATTTCTTTTAAGGAAAAGAACGAATTCCTAATAATATGGAGATGCATGATCATTCATATGAAGAAAAAGGAACTAGCACCCATCGAGTCGTCGAAAATGTACAGAGTAGGTAGGAGTGTTACAGTGAGAAAAAAGAAAGAGAAACAAAAAGCAGGTGCACGCCAGAAGACACGACCAGGCAGATAAGACACAAACACCAAAGGAAAAAGAAGAGAAAGAGACAACTCGCAACGAAAATTAAAGAATAAGCCAACGGAAGAGGAAAGAGAAATCAAGGAAATAGATATTACCCATGAATATCAGGGATCACCTGGACCGTTTGCTTCTTCCATTTTCATCCCTTGTTTTCGATGTGCTTTGATTCTTGCTCTCTCCGATAACAATGCTCTGCCATACCCCTATTGAGGGGGTATGTTTAATGCTTTTGTGGTTTCATCCAGGACCATCAGAGATCCTATGGAGTCTCTTCCAGGGTCAGGTATTAGAGGAGAAAGACCTTAGAATTTGCGTTCCTCGAGGAATTTCAGAATCTCAGGTTTGCGCCAGCCCTGTATCAGAGTGTTAATTTCCACATTGACCCAGTCCATCTTGAATCAAACATACCTTGACAACAATGTGACCAGTAAGACGGTTAATGGCAACATCGGGGTTAGGCTTGTGGCCATCGACAACACCCAGTGCGCAAGCCAGGTCGTTGCGGAGTTGATCCAGATCACCCTCTGTCTTCTGGATCTTGGTGAGCTTCTTCGTACCACCGGCTTTGGTGTCGGTATAGACAGGCAGCTTGTTGGAGGCGGAACGGCGAACGAAATAAGGGAGATTATCGAGCTTCAAAGGCGGGCTAGGGTTCTTGGAGGGATTGACTGGGGTCGCGTGTGCCGACGGGGATTGTTCTTTCAGGGCTTGCGCTTGACGACGGAGTTGGGTGAGGAAAGTGCGGCTTTGGCAGGTAGGGAGAGAGGTCTTGAAGGTCGAGGATAGTGAGATCTGAGGGTGAGAATCTGAAATGAAGGGTTAGTATCGCGAATTTCCTGTAGAACCAGATTGTTCCCAGTTTTCTCTCTTGTTTGGAAGTTGCAAGATATTGCAAAACAGCGCGCATATGGGTTAAAACTTGCAGGGTCCAATGTATCAAGAGAGATCTGTTCAAATGTCACTTACGTGAAACCGACAACCTTGTCTGAGGACATAATGTGGAAAATGAATTACATGTCTGAACGGAAGCCACGGATTGTGCAGAGCTGACGCGAAGAGGGATGGCAGTGGCCTGCTTTCGCATGGCCCAAGTGGCCGGGCCTGAGTGTAGAAGAGACGCCATTGCACGTCTAAAGGACCAACCGGAGTGTATTAACCGGAGAGAATGATGATGGAGGACATAAGCCGGGAAGAGCAGCAACATCTGATGCTCGGCGTTCTGCTCAGATTTTCTGCCACCGCCTTCCAGCACCCACTTCCCAAAAGGGTTTAGGGCCACCGACGCCCGCACAATCTGCAAATTCTCCATTGATCGCGGTTGGCCTTTGTTATCCCCTCTCTAGACCTTTCCCCCTTTCTGCCATCTTTACAGACACATCATGGCAGCCAACGCCCCTCCCTCCGCTGAGACCATGCTCAGCGGCGCTGCTTCTCACCAGCCTAAGACCGCCGAGGAAATCGCCTCTCAGCACGATTTGCTCCCCCGACTGATTCCGTACCTCGACCGTCACCTCGTTTTCCCCCTGCTCGAATTCAGTGCCGGCAGCGATGAGGAGGACAAGGAGATCACCCGGGCCAAATATGAGCTCCTCAAGCACACAAACATGACCGACTACGTTGCCAACCTGTGGCAAGAAATCAACAACTCCGATACCATTCCCGACGAGTTTGTGAAGAAGCGCGAGGAGGTTTTGGCCAAGCTACAGCATTACCAGGACCAGAGCGAGAAGATTTCCGAGTTGTTGCAGGATGAGGAGGTCGTGGGTAACCTGCGTAGCGACAAGGCGGCCAACTTGCGGTTCCTCGAAGAGCAGCACGGTGTCACAATCGAGATGGTCAACAGCCTCCACGATTACGGACGATTCCAGTACAGCTGCGGTAGCTATGGAAATGCCGCTGAGCTGCTTTACCAGTTCCGTGTCCTGTCCACCGACAACGACAAGGTCGCTTCCGCCACATGGGGTAAGTTGGCGTCAGAAATCCTGACCACCAACTGGGAGGGTGCCATGGAGGAGGTTCAGAAGGTCAAGGACTCCATTGAGACTCGCCTGTTCAACAACCCTCTCGCGCAGCTCACCAACCGCTCATGGCTCATCCACTGGTCGCTGTTCCCCTTCTTCAACCACGATCCTGCCCGCGACGTCCTCACCGACCTCTTCTTCTCCCCCGCCTATATCAACACCATCCAGACCAGCTGCCCTTGGGTTCTCCGTTACCTTGCCGCCGCTGTCATCACCAACCGCAGCCGTCCCCACAAGCATTCCGGTATCTACCAGAAGCAATTGAAGGATCTGATTCGCGTTGTGCGCCAGGAGGACTACGAGTACACCGACCCCATTACCGACTTCGTCAAGGCCCTTTACGTCGAGTTCGATTTCGAGGAGGCACAGAAGAAGCTCGGCGAGGCCGAGGAGGTCCTGCGCAGCGACTTCTTCCTTGTGTCGGCCGCGGATGCTTTCGTTGAGGCTGCCCGTCACCTCATCTCTGAGAGTTACTGCAAGATCCACCAACGGATTGATATCAAGTAAGTATAAGTTATAGGGAATCTTTTCCTAGTGCGGAACACGAATTAACAGTTTTCCAGCGATCTGTCCGCTCGTCTCGGTCTGAACCAGGACGAGGGCGAGAAGTGGATTGTCAACCTGATCCGCGACACCCGGGTTGACGCCAAGATCGACTATAAGGAGGGCACTGTGATTATGAACCACCCTCCCCAGTCTGTCTACCAGCAAGTCATTGAGAAGACAAAGGGTGCCTTCTTCCGCACACAAGTCTTGAGGTATGCATTTCTCCGGAAAATCAGCATTGACCATTGCTAACCTTCTTTCTAGCTCTGCTGTTGCAAAATAAATTCCCGCATGACCTGATGCCGAAAACTGAACTTTTCTCCGTTATGTGATTTTGAAACCTGTTTCTGCCTACCCATTTTTAGTGATCTCCCCGTGTAGGTCACAACACGGTTGTTTGAGGGATGGGACTCCGTGCAGAGTGGCATCCGGCTGGCGTTCTTCGGTGGTCCACCTTATTTTCTTTACCTCTTTAGTCATCTTACAGTTCCTACAAAGCTCTCTCCCTCCCTATATTTTCACTTCTTTGTCGTCAGATGTTTTGCTTGACCTCTTTATGTATTGGCCATTTCTGACCCTGGAGGTTTGGAGGGAGGTGGAGAATCTCAAAAAGAAGCCACGAGAGAAATGTGGCGCCCCCTGTTCAATTGCTTGGAGGGGGAACGAAGATGAGAAGAGATTGAGATATGATGTAGACTCCTTGATTTTGGGGTCTGATTCTATGTTGTTACGAATGGGCTATAGAGATGAAAGATGATGTCTCTGACAACCCCCTTCCAAGATTTCTAGTCGACCTTTCGTATTGTATGCTCGCAAAAGCACATGAATAGTTCCTATGTACGAATCAAAAGGATAGGCATTGACCGTTCTATGCCCGTTAGGCGCTAACGTGTACGTCAGCCCCCAAGTGGATCACCTGGGCTGAGCATCATACTCAGCCACTGCTTCTAGTACTGATTCCCCTTCAAAGGATTCAACTTCTTTCCTATATGGACCTGAGTACTTGAACCGCTCCCTTTCTGGCCGTCAACAAAATGAGCCAATTGACACTTGCTTCACGACTCAAGCCTGAAATTCGACTGGCGCAAGCAGTGTCGCTCTATGAAGCTGACCTTTCTGCCGACCAAAAGGCGAGATTTCGCGCAGACAAGTCTCGACTACGAGATGCGCCTCCTAGTATCAGAGATGTTATGCGGCTCACTGCTGAGATAGACCAGGCGGCATCTGGGAAAACGCGCTGTTTGGGACCTCGCATGGTTAATGTACTGCAATCCGTTCAGCAGTTTGCTGCCCTTGGGGACATCATCATAGGCGGTTCGCAGAACCTCATTGCTTGTGGAGTCTGGACATTGGTTCGGACGTCTCTGCTGGTCAGTATTTTCGTAGCAAAGGCGTCTCTGACTTTATCTTGCCTCTCGGATAGCTGATGCATCCGCAGTTAATCTCAAACCACTCTTCATATCTTGAAAGATTGTCGACTGTTTTCATGGAGGTCGGTCGCTTGGCTCCCCGCCACGAGAGAATGGCTCTGCTATATCCTCGTTCCAAGGATCTGCAGTCATGCATGTGTGAATATTTCATCGTGGTTGTCAATCTGTGCCATAAACTCTTGAAATTTACCCAAAAGTCGAGTCTCGCGCAGTTCAAAGCATCTGTTGCCGACGGTGACTTGAAAACATCCCAATCTAACCTCGAGCTTTGGGCCACGAGGATCAGAGTCGAAGTGCAAATGCTGATGGCCGAGGCAATTACAGACGAAGCTGTAAAGAACTCAAACTTCAGAGATTTCTCGAAAACGCTCTCCAAATCCAGTTCCTACAAGCGCCAGCTCAACATGTATCTGAAAATGCTTGACTTTTGTTCCATGTACGATCACACAGTGACTTGGAAACAGAACCGAAAAGCCGGGACGACACGGCTGTTTTGTGACAGTGCCGAGTACAAGGACTGGAAGGACCAATCCGGCTCTGTGACTCTTGTTTATACTGCCAGCCTTGGATCTGGCAAATCAGTCTTACTGGCTAACCTCGTGGATGATCTCCATCTTCATGTTCAAGACAGCAACGTCCCAGTGGTCTACTTTTTTTGCCGATATGATATCACCGAGAGTCTTCAGGCCCGAAGCATCATTGGTTCTATTGCTCGGCAGTTGTTAGGACGCATGCAGTCCCAATGCCTAAACTCCGATCTTGAGATGGGATATTTCCTTGATAGAAATAAGCTTGGAAATTTTGAGACTATATTTTTCTTACTGCAGCGTGTCTTGGCGTCTGATTTCCAAGCATACATTGTCATTGATGGAATTGACGAATGTGAATATTCCGAAAGACGGATATTGATGGAGGAACTCAAAAGACTGCAAGATACGTTCGCGATACGTCTCTGTATTTCCCTTCGACTCGAGCCCAACAAGCCTTTGGAAGTCAATACAGATGGCTTGATGCATACCACGATCTCGCCAATTCCTGACAATTCCTCCGAGATTGGAGCGTTTATTCAAGCAGAACTGGAGAGCTGCATAGAATCTCAAAGGCTCGTGGTTGGAGACCCGCATTTAATCTTGGAGATAAGGGATACCCTCTCGCAGCGATCTCAGGGCATGTTTCTTTGGGTTGTGCTGCAAATTGAGACATTGTGCATGATGGACTCGGATCATGCCATCCGCCAAGCCTTGGAGGACCTCCCTAGTAACCTTCGGGAGACATTTTCTCGCATTCTACAGAGATCTGAGAGACCTGGAATACTCACCCAACGAGCTGTACTGGAGCTGATCACCGCCGCCCACAGCCCGTTAACCACGGAACAAATCCGAGAAGCATTAAGCGTGGTTCCAGGCAATACAGTCTGGGATCCATCAAGACTCCCCAATGACATAAATGCTACGCTCGCATGCTGTGGGTGTCTCATAACACTGGATGAGGAGGAGCTCACTGTCCGGCTTGTGCACTCTAGCTTCAAGCAATTCCTACTAGACGAGCCCGACTATGTCAACCTTGAGTCTGCACATGAACGCATGACAGGTATCATCATCACCTACCTGAGTTACGACATGTTCGGAACCCAGCTTTCAACGACAGTCATTCCTGAAATCAAAGCTGGATCAGTCCCCGCAACAATCGCAGAGACTGCTTTACCATCCTCGGGCAACATTCGGAACCTTGCACTGAAACTATTAAGGTCTAAGTGTGAGACCGAGTTTGATATTGGCAAAACACTCGCGATGGCAAGGCCAAGCCGTCATATCTTGAACCAGTCTCATTTGCGAAGCTATGCACAGTTGTATTGGTGTTCTCACCTTCTCAAATTCAAAGGGTTGAGTCGGAGATTAAGCCAGTTACTAATCGGTCTTCTGGAAGCGAAACGGCTGTCTCCGGTTTCAGAAAGTATAAGGTCTTTTCCGAGTTACACTCTACTTTATGGATTCGCGGATTTCAGACTTGATCTCGGAATTTGGACAAACAGAGACCTTTGGAAACAGACCTTTGAACCTCCGATACTGCATCTTGCTGTTGTAAGCGGACATGATCTATTTGTTGATGCGGTGATCAACCACGGCGGCTTCGATATCAATTATAGGGACCCTACTGCACAAACAGCAATTCTGCTGGCTGCCGTTACAAAAAACGTCAAGATATTTGAGTCTCTTCTTGGCGTGGAAAGCATTGATGTGTCCGTCAAATCCTGGCTTGGATACACTCCACTGCACATGGCGGTACTTGACTCGTCTGAGGACCTACTGAAAATAATGATTGAGTCCAAAAAGTTCGACCTCAACGTTCAGGATGACACGGGCAGAAGAACTGCCTTGCATATAGCCGTATTACACCGCAAGGCTGACCTGGTAGAGCTACTTCTGGGGTCCGATTCAATTGATACCAGCATCTTGGATGAAACCGGACTCGGCCCCATTCACCACGCGGCAAGGTTTGAGCGATCATCGACTGTCATGAGAATTCTCACTCGGTCTAGCAAAGTTGATGTCAACCTGAGAGATCGCGAAGGGAGGGCTGCAATTCATATTGCGGCTCTTAAAGAAGAGAAACAACAATTTGCCCCGGAGTATGCAAAGTCTACACTTGCAGTACTTCTTGCCTCTGAGAGAATCGATGCCAATGCAAGAAATAAGGATGGAATGACTGCACTCCATCTAACTATGGTGAATATACGAAGCGACATGTCAACTCTGCTCTTATCCCCCAAAGTAGATGTCAATGCAAAGGACTCTGATGGAAGAACAGCCTTACACAAAGCTGTGGTGCAAGGAAAGACAGCTCATATATCACAGCTACTTTCTCGCGACGACTGTGATATAAATGCCAGAGACAATAAAGGGAGCACCGCATTGCACCTTGCTACAAGTTATAAAACTGCAGAAGTGATGTTGAACTCTGGGACGATTGATGTAAATGCAAAAGATGCAACTGGACGAACTGCTCTGCATATCGCATCCGCATCGTCATGCCTACCTATTGTCACGCAGTTACTTGAGCTCAGTGAAATTGACCTCAACGCAGCACTCGATGGGGAGACAGCAATTCACTATGCTGCAACCCAGGTCGTGTTAGAACCTAAGGTACATAGGTTGGATGGCATGGTTTTCAGCAAAGGGAGCCTGACATTTACGGAGCATGCACACGACACCTTCGAGGTGTTTATGCGGCTATTCAGGTCGGAAAGGGTTGATACTGCCTTGAAAAACGATGCAGAGAGGATCTTAGCCAATGCGAACATCACGGTGGATTATCTAGAGGATTGCTTGTTGACAATGTCCCAAGATATCTCAAGAGTTCGAACCATCATTGGTGATACTTGGAAAGGTTGGGGTATCGGATAATTGCGATAGGCCTAAATACAGTCATAGGCCACAAGTCCTTTCCGTCCTTTCATACCCTTACTTGCATATAAATAACTATAGTCCGAGGCACTCGATAATGGGCAAAAAGAGGCGAAAAACAGAGGCCAAAGTAGGGCGAAAGCAAAGCATGAAACGGTATACTCGCTTCGAGGCTTTTGTGTACTGTCCAATATTTCATCGGGGGCACTGTATACACACTCATGACCCCTGTTGTACGACATTGTACAGTCTTTGCGCTAGTTTGCAGAAGGGTATAAGAAGAAAAAGAGAGAGAAAAGACGCAAAGTGCATAGAAACGGAACAAAGATGACGATCCTATTAGCCCCCAAAGCTACGGCTACCTTCACAATAACCGCTTCCATCCACGGAGCTTCCACTGGACCGGACCGCCTTGGCTTGATCCATGGAGTCCGGCGATTTCCAGAGGCTCAGTGTCCAGGAAATGGCCAAGTTTCCCTGCCTCATGGATATGAGGTTCCAGGTGAAAGAAAGAACAGAGTTGATCCGCTGGATAGTGTCAATCGACGACATAGGGCTGTCCTTGCAAGTGAATCCTACAATTGGACCAGGGCTGGAAGTGGGCTATCCTCTCCAATAGATGGTAGCGCATCCGGAAAGAAAATCAACGACCTCGTGAATCTTGATCACGTCTGCGTGGAGCAGGTGTGTTTATCGGGATAATCTCGTTGATAAAAGTCTCGTGCGAGGTATGATAGGTTGATTTATCGCTGCCTGGACTGGAAGTTGCGGTGCCATTGTTATGAGCCATGCGAACTGCCTCCTGTCTTTCGTACTCCCGGGACATTGTTGCGAGGTCGTCAATTTGTTCCTATAAAAAGCAGTCAGGATTTGATATCTTGGAGAGCTCCAACTTTGCAATTGCAGTATATCGAAAAAGAAAGTCATGAAAGGAGAACAGACCCGCGTGAGAGGCACGCCGTTGATGAGATATCCTTCACGTCCCTTTATCACCAAAGATATATGATTAGGACAAGTTACCCGGAGTGGAGCAGAAGTATCAACCTGACATACCTGATAGCTATAGGGTCTGACTGACGCAGTCGGGCCTAAGAAGTAATGGATATGCCCTAAGACGATATGTCGGGACAGCCCGTACCCCGGAAGCCAGTACTGTTGGTCAGGGGACATTGTCAGAATCCAGAGGTGAGGCGACAAGGCAAGGCGAAGGAAATGTCAGGTCAGATGTCAGTCGACACCGACACAAACGAACCGTGCCTGGATACTCGCAGTGGGACTTTTGACATTCCCCGGAGGACAAGGCATGGGGTATAAATAGGGATGGTACTCGAACAGATAAGCGATAAATGAGACAGCTCTCAATTACAGGTGCGCTAATGGCCTGTCCGGTTCTTCGGATATGATTTCACAGGAGGTCAACCCACAGGAAGGAGACCGCGTACTCCTTTCCCAGTGCATGATCCACATGGCGAAATGGAACCTCTTGACGTACCCGGGACAATAATCTCGGCAAGATGCAGAAAGATCAAACAGCGGAAGGACAATGGTCCAGATTACCCACAGGGGAGAAGGGTTCATGTCGGATTCGGCTGACAAGAGAGCGCCTCACTTTCATCAGGCAACGAGACCCAACGCTTTTTCTGATGGTCGATATTGAGCTTGGGACAGGAAATCCGGGCGTTTCATCCACCTTCCCACCCTTCTTTACTACCGAGGCCCCGGTCACGGTCAGAAGTGAGGCTTGCATGGCGAAGCATCGGTCTCGAATCAATCCAAGGGCAAACTACCCAGTTATTCACAGACCCTGGGGGATGTGCGTGTTTTCTCTCTCACCGCAGATTCTCAAACCTATGCGGCGCCAATTTGGCTCTGCGGTGATGTCGTGGCACCACGGATTGTCGTCTTCGATCGCGGGGCCACAATGCTGCAGTGAGGGCATCTGCATCTCTCGCTTTTGGGACAGGAATTCGTTTCCCTCTCCAATCGCCAAGAGGTGGGTTTTTGGAAGAACCCTATATTAATTGCGTTCAGCCAAGACACGGGTGTGTTGTTACTCCGTAGCTCAAGGATGATAAAGAATGGGGGGAGTTTACAGTTCTACGGTCATATCATGTCCTCTACAATGATAGAATATCCTCACATATCATGTCAATCATGCATGTATTATTCTCTAATCTTTTCATAATTCGTCCTACATAAGTGGAGTGTATCTCGCATCCTTTACTGAGGAGGCACGTATGGGTTCACCAGCATGTCACTGAACCTGCAGGATAAGCGTTAGCTTGAAACATTCCTCGGGATCCGTTTGGAATCAACTTACTTTTCCAACTTCTCCTTCCCGCGCACTTCCTCAACAAGCATCGGCATGCGGACTACATTGAAATCCTCATAGAGCTCTTCAATTTGCTCGAGGTACTTCTTCTGCATCTTTCTCCGGGCAGTGCATTGGTCGCAGTTGCTTCCCTCCTTGGGGAACAGCAGCTGGTTGACAACGATCGAGTGGGTGTCAATGTTGTAGCTGGTCAATTCCTGAATCATACGTTCCGTCTCGTAGAGCGACAAGAACTCCGCAATGCAGACACAAACAAAGGTGGTCATGTCCGGGTTCTTGAATTGCGTGTTGACCTCGCTGATAGTCTCACGCAATGACTCCATCTTCTGCAACAGCTCATCCATATTCTGGCCTCCGGGCAGACCGCCACGTGCGCCCAGAATCGAGTTCAGCATCGGGCCAAACTGAGAGGACAGCTGGGAAAGCTTCGCTAGCGCCTTCTCGAGCACGGTGGGGAATTGGAGGAAGCGGAGGGTGTGGCCGGTCGGAGCGGTGTCGAACACGATGCATTCGTATGAGAGGGACTTGACCTGCTTGAGGACTTCGGCAAAGGACATGGCCTCGTCAACACCGGGAATCTAGCGCCACCAAAGTTAGCTTTAACACGTAGTATGAATGGTGCGACGGGGCAATTTACGCTGAATGCCAGATCCTGCATCATGTTGCCCATGCCCAACCCCGCCATGGGGTCTTCGCCTTGGCCATCTCCAGTGGCAAGCAGGTCCTGGATGCTGCCATTGGGATCGATCTCCATCGCGCTGAGGTTCGAGAACCCATCGATCAGACGCGCTTCCTTTCCAAACTTTTGACCAAAAGCGTCGCTCAGGTTGTGTGCGGGATCGGTCGAGATCAGCAAGACAGACTTGCGCACCTTGGCCAACTGGATAGCCAGCGAGCACGAGGTGGTGGTCTTACCCACACCTCCCTTACCTCCGACGAAGATCCAACGGAGTGTGTTTTGGTTGAGGACCGACTGGAGCGTAGGCTCCATGTCGAGATCGTCGCCATGTACCACAGCGGAAGACATTGTTGGAGAGTTGAAGTGGGAAGTTCAAATCAAGTTGGATTATTTGCCCCGCAAACCGTCGAACTTTCCGGAAGTCTGGCCTTTTGACACTTCCCCTTTCAACTACTCACAACTGTCAACTGTCAACTTCTTTGCAATTGATCACAAATATTGATTCCCTTGAGGTTATTGTTCGTACTTGCGCAGCATGTACTTTGCCCTCAACTCGCCAAAAACACCATTTGGATGCTGATTCGAAATTGAAACAAATACAACACTGGAAATAAATACAGTCTCGACCCATGTTCAACTAACACGAGGGAAAAGAAGCTGAGAAGTTGCCGCACAAGTCGGGCGAGGCCAGTAGATAGCTGCATGGCACTCTCCGCGCCCATCGGTATCCTCCGATGCGCAACAAATAGAAATATACTCCTCTCCCTCCTTTCCCCTTCTGACTCTTCCCAATACCCCAAACCCCTCTGAATGGACACCACCGAGTCTACTTCCAATATTGGTCGCATCACCAATCGCCTCGCACTCTACCAGCAACAAATCTCCCCGTCCCCACATCCCCAATCCAAATCTACCTCCACCTCCACCTCCAACACTACCAAACAACCAACAATGGCAGCGCGCGATCCTATCACTTGCCATTGCCTCAACACATTGTCAGGAACACCAGCAGCAAACCTGCCAGTAACCCTGACCCTCCTCGACCCCTCCACCACCGCCAACCCCGCCACCTTCCGCGCAACAACAAACGCCGACGGCCGCGTGGCTAACTGGACGCCTGTCGGAACAACATCGCAGTCCGTCCCCGCTGTGCTCGCTGCCCTGCCCGCCGCCGATAGCAAGACCAACTGGTCTGTACGCTTTGATGTCGGCCCTTGGTATGAGGCTCAGGGCGTGGAGAGTTTCTGGCCCGAGGTTGAGGTCAAGTTTACGGTGAAGGGTCGTGGGCGTGAGGGTGAGGAGGGCTGGAAGCATTATCATGTTCCTGTTCTGCTGGGTCCTTGGAATTACTCTACTTATCGGGGCTCGTGAGGTGGAGATTGGGGGTTGTACATATAGCATGTCATCTGGAGCTGTGCGAAGCTTGGCTTTGAATTCCTGGAGATGATCAATTACAATGATCTAAAGGATATAAGTGATAAGTTATATATTTTCAGTTTACGTGATCTATATGGTATGAAGTCAACGTAGCAGAAAAGAAAAGAGGTTATCCACAGCATGATAGGTTTGTGATTTGGACTTTTGACGACCTAGCTGCATCTCCCTTCCGTTGCGCTTCCGTGACGCGTGACTGTCATTCAATATTGACGATGACCCTACTGCGAAGACACTGAAGGTTGACTTGGTCGGTTCGATTCACGGTGTATGTCCAGTGGCGGCATGTGATTTCACTACTGGTTCACTTCCTGTTTCTAAGATCTGGGAGTCTCCAGATGGATTAAAGAATCAATGAACTAGTACAGCAGATTTGCGCAGTCTCAAATCGCTTGAATTGTGTTTAGCCTTAATTGAAAATCTGCTTTGGAAATGGACAGCCGGGGTGGGAGGGAAACAAAATTTGGCCAACATAACCCAAAGGAACCTGGAAAATAATGACCGCCCTTTTCTGACGTTTCGAAGCTTTATCAGACCAATAAGTTGCACACTCACATTTCGCAATTCAATGCCAATTTCAATTTATCGTTGTAATTGCATGGAGCTGATGACTCCCCAAGTCCAACTCTTGACTACACGCGAGTCAAGTATCATTATCAGATCCGCCTGTAAAAAGAAAATAGGTGCCATTAGCAATGTTCTAAGATTTGGACAGATGCAAGTCACCAAGTCACGAGGTGTCTGAAAGGCGGTGATGAGGGTCTATCTGGAGTACTGTAAGGGGTCATTGCTCAAGGCATAAATAGACACGAGCGCGTGGGGCTAGGTTATGCCACTCAGAAATCAACCGCCTCCGTAAAAAGGCATATCATTTGTCCAAATGAGGAAATCAGTTAACAATAAGGTGCAGTTTCAGAAGTATATAGATGCTGTGGGGCTACGGCTATCCACAAAGTGGCGTAGGAAAAGCCTTATCCTGGACGTCTTCAATACAGACAAAGTTAGTTTCTTAGTCTATCAACCATTGATCATCTAGATCTTCCAATCTTGGAGGTTCCCGTACGTTCATAGTCCAGATCATTTGCTCCACCTTAGTCACTATTTGCCCTAGTACCGCTACCTTTTCAAGATTTCCACTCGTAGCATGTTCTACACCGTACACATTACATGTATATCTAAGGAACAGTACTTTTGCTTCGAAGCCAGGCAAATCATGTGACATGGATTATTTATTTCCCAGCAATCATAAACAATGCTATTTGGGTGGAAAACGAACTGCCGAAACACGCGATCTCGATCTATCCAAAAACCGCGTACCCATGTCCCTCTGGGGCCGATTTACAAGAGTAACAATACGACCGTAGAACATGGTTCCGCTTTCCTTATTCCACGGAACACTAACTGGATGTCGCTCAATACGCTATTATTTTTTTTATAAAGATTCAAAGGAGAAAGTTGTCTAGAATGCCAGTGGCAAGGAAACACGTGAGGGTCCCGGTGGATTGCGTCATCGTTTTTTCACCGCATTCCTCGATACTTGTGTCTCGAATCCCACGCCTTGGCGAGCGTAATATAGACCTCTTATTGGATACTGGACATGTCTTTGGGTCCACAACGGGAGAAATTCCTGTCGTCACCGTGACATAATGAATATCTGGTTTCTTCCGACATATCACACCTCCGTATCAGGGTTTTGCAAACATCCAAGGCGTGAAAGCCAATCATTGTCAAAGTTGTCTTCCTCAGTACTATCTTCGCCAATAATATTGGATCAAAATTACGGTAATCCGTTCTCAGATTGGCAAAGGTGAGTGTCCGAGTCTCCACCTCAAAAATGTTATTCGAGGCAATGTAGGGACATCCATGTCATGGAAAGGGAACAGGTTCTAGGATAAGCCGAGGGCATAGAGAAGCATTGAGAGATAGAGAGGAGACTGTAGTAAGAGAAGCCCTGGGGCCATTATTAATCGATGGCGCGTTACATTTGTATTTTTTTTTACGGTACCTGGACTGTAACTCTGGGTTTTCGTCTTTTTCCCTAAATTTCCCCAATTCCCTAAATTTCATCATATCCCTCTTTCCCCTACGTCACTCTCTTCCTTTCTTTCCATCCCCCTAGGCAAGCCACTGTTTGTCTCGAGATCATTATATCATTTTTTATTAGTGAATCCTCCTTGGGATGTCTGCTGCAGTCGCTTCGGTGACGACTCTTCGCTCCAATATGTCATCTCCTATGGATAAGAAGACAGAAAAAGAAGGTTCGTGTCACGCTTCATATCTGTACTTTTGCCTATTCCCTCTGTGCATTATGCTTCAGAGAATCCCCCCTTTTGGTTTGGTAATACGCCACGCTCCCCCCGAGCCTTAAATCCCCCTAAGCCCTTTGCCGTTGCGATGACTTCACCCGCTGGCGTCATTGATTCCTCCCCACCACATACTCAACCATGAAGCCCCCGACACGATCTCAGAACCGCCGTGGTACCTATTTGCGATCGCATGAATCTTTAACGCGTCATTGCTAACTCAAACCTCCCTTCAGACTTGCAGGCTGTGTCTTCCAAGGACGAGAAGCCTGACCTAGATCAGACCTCCTTGGCGCCTCCTCCGCGACCTGGTGCGCCTACTGCGTCTGATACCCCCGATTACTTCAGTTCTATGCACAACCCGTTCTCCCTGGAGCCCAATCCATTTGAGCAGTCTTTCAGTGGAAATTCATCTGCCGAGACCCCGGGCAAATCGCTTCTGCCCCCGGTGGCTTCACTCACCTCCCCGGCTTTGCCTGGAGCAAGCTCTGCTGGCGGGTATAACTGGCCCAATTCCCTTCGTTCTGGACCTCTCAGTCCGGCCATGCTTCCAGGGCCCACTGGATCTAATGACTACTTCGACAGCATCGGTCGCGGCTTCCCTACACCGAACGAATCTTCTCTCCGGACTGGACTGACCCCTGGAGGCGGTGGCTCTATGTTCCCAGCCCCCAGTCCCAACTCGCAAGCTATCCTACAACAACTCCAGAACGGCGGCGCGACTCCCTCCACCATCGATTTCCATCGCACCGCGCTAGCCGCCAAGAAAAACAACGCGAATGCACCAACCTCCAACCCCAACGAGCAGGAACAGGCTAATATGGATGTAAAACCCGCTCGTCCTGCCGACTTCACCCAGCATGACGCGGCTGATGCCGCCAATGGACTGTTCATGCTGGCCAAGGGTGGCCAGACGAACAACATGCCCATGAACCACGCTATGCAAAATGAGACCCGCGCCGCTGCTAATCGACGCGTCTCGCAGAATGCCAATGGCGACAGTGGAGATGGATCTGACCAGGACATCAAGCCGGCCAAGGGCAAAGGCAAGCGGAACGCCAAGGCACCGGCTGCCAACAACCGGCGCAAGGCCGATGATAACCAGAAGGGACCCAACAAAAAGGCCAAGTCTATGGAAATGCCATCGGATATGGAAGAAGATGACGACGACGATGATGACATGAAGAAGTACCCTATGGATCCCAAGAAGATGACCGATGAGGAGAAGAGACGCAACTTCCTTGAACGCAATCGGTAAGATCATATTTCTTTCACATCCGTGAACATCGCTAACGCTTGCACTACAGTGTCGCTGCCTTGAAGTGTCGTCAAAGGAAGAAGCAATGGCTGGCCAATCTCCAAGCTAAGGTCGAGCTATTCACAACGGAGAACGATGCTCTTACTGCCACCGTGACACAGTTGCGCGAGGAGATTGTCAATCTCAAGACTCTGTTGCTAGCACACAAGGACTGTCCCGTCTCCCAGGCCCAGGGGCTCGGCCCCCTGATGATGAATGGCATGTCCGCCGGATTCGATCATCACAGCGGCTATAACATGCCTCCCAACATGGGCATGCAGCCCGGTGCCATCCCTGCCCAGGGCATGCGTCGGGCGTAAGCGAGAGACCGAAACCTCGCTTATTTTTCATATTGAGATATATGAAACTTGCTTCGCCGCGCAGGAAATATATGTTTGATGCTTAGAACCGGCGGCTTGCTCTATTCTTCCTGGGAGCTTCTTTTCCCATTTCGGTTCATTCTCCCCGAATGTTTGGCATGGGCAGGTGTTAATGATTCGCACGACTCAAAAAACGGAACGGGCTCGACTCGGTGGTCTGGAAATTGCTTTCTTTTGAGGGCGTGTCAAATCCGGCGTATGAGATGCTTTTTATGGCTGATTTTTTTTTTTTTTTTTGCCAAGGTTGCTTCTGTTTGTTCTCTGATGATTTCTTCTTCGCTGTTTCTCAGTTGTATTTTTTACTCCCTTTGTTTTTTTTTTTCCCTTCTAATATTTTTCCTCTTGATGCCCAGAGGATCTTCTACCTTTCGCTTGTCTAATACTTGAGGGCACACGGGTGCATTTTCTTCTTCTTTTCTCTCCCTTTCCTGGTTGCTTGTGTCGAAATACATGATTCCTGGATGGCGTACGGATGGCTTTTGTGGTTCTTTGATGTGTTTGACTAGTTTCTTGAAACCAGATGGTTGGCCAATAAATTTTCGACAGTCGCTCTGGCACTCAATTCTATTGAGACTTTAGACCTCTTCGTGGTATTTATTACTTTTAGCAATGTACGCTAGGAATCATTCGGCTAGGAACAGTTGCACCCATGCATCGTTTGCATGGTCAGAAGTGTGCAACCTAACCAGGCCAGCACGATTATGGGCATGTAGACAATGAGATACCCCAATCCCGGATTATAGGGATAGCAGGGATGACAGTTGGCTTCACAGCCTGATTCACTAACAAATCTGGAACTATATCCAGCCTAGGTTGTACTGCCATGCCTTCGGGTAGCATAAATCGACTGCGAGAAGAAGCCCTAACGACATACGTATACCGGCCTGCAAGTTTCCTTTTGGAGTCGTTCTTAGCAAGATTCTTTGATAATTATCTCTAATCAATATACAATGGCACCAGACCTATTGAACTGTAGATTCCACGATGAGTTACGCTTCTATTCGGCGACGTATGTCCGCTGCCCTTCCCGAAAAGCGCTCATAAAAAGGAACAAGATAAGCAACAACGCTCTAACGGGGGAAGTCAAGTCTCTGACACTAAATTCTATCGCCGCAGACCAAGACAGCCCACTTCCCGGGTTTAGGGTTTATTGGAAGTACCCCAAGTCAGTCTCCGGGCGTGATATCCCGAGGGAAATTACGCACAGACTATATATCAGATTAACACTGTTGATCTTGCCTGGTGTATATCCGATAACGAATATTTATTCGCTTCACTTCAATTGTGCCTGCAGATAACATCCCTACAATCCTACAATGTCTGGACTCCCCTTTCCCCAGAAGTCTTCGGAGTCTGTTGCAAATAGCATTGTGACAGCCAAATATTTAGAACTACTTGTGCAAGACCAGACTTACATCAATGGGTGCTGGGTGAAGAAAGAGCAGACTTTCAGTGTATATGGTTCGTCCTCCTAGGATCATTTTATTTGACGCTCATCTCATTATTCATTAGAGCTGTGGAAGGCTCAGGCTCTCGGAGCTGTAGCAGACTGTGATTTAAATGACATCCAGTCAGCCATCGAAAGTGCAAATGTAGCACAGAAGAACGTTTACTCTTCAACTACAGCTGCATAACGCGGAGGCCTCTGCGGAGATGGCACGACTTGGTTATGTAAAACGTTGAGGACCGTAAGCATCTCCCTATTCCCCAAAGCTCCGCGTTGATCTCTAACAGCCATCTCTGATCGGAAGGATTCTATATCTAGAGAATGGCAAAACTATAAATGAGACTAAAGGCAAAATTGCCTATGCAGCGAGCTTCATTGCTTGGCTCGCCGAGGAAAGCAACACATTCGTAGGGCGACACAATCCCATCACCAACACCGAACACCATGATAATGACAGCGAAAGAGCCAATCGGTGTCTGCGGGTATCATTACTCCATGGAACTTCCCAGCTGCCATGATCAATCGCAAGATCGCCCCAGCTCTGGCCGCTGGGTGTGCCGTAGTTTTCAGGCCACCAAGTGAGACATCATTCACTCATCTCGCTTTCACAAGGCTGGCTTCGAAGGCGGGATTTCCTGGTAAGGCCATTCAGGTCTGCCCTACGAATAGGCAGGCGGCCTCAAGAGTTCGTGACATGATGTTCAACCTTCGATGCTCGGGCCAGACTTGTGTGGTGTGAGTTTACTCCTTACCTTTGGCGCTATTAAACTTACCAATACAATAGTATCCACCGCCTCTATGTTCAAAGAGGCTTTTTGGACGAGTTCACTCGGAGACAGGTGCAGAAGGTCTCTGAACTCGGGCTGGGACCCGGGATCGAAGACTTATGCACGGAAGGCCCGCTGATTAACGTGTCCGTCGTCGACAAGGTTAAGAGTCATCTATTCTTCTTACATCTACTCTTCTTACAGACATACACTGATCGGCATCAATAGTGGGATAAAATGGTGATCGTGAGCTTTTCTGCTAAATGAAGCAGACAACAACATCTATTTAATTGGTTTTCCAATATTTTCTAGTTTATGTCGGTAAACTTGTGGATCCATTCATTCAAGATTTCCGAGGGATCAGTCGTTCACTGACACATAACGGCGTTCAGACCGGACTCGCCGATGCTGGTACTTTCTCGTGTGTAGCATGTTATCAACATCTGACGGGAACTTTTGCCTTTAGGGTTTTCGCCTGTCAGCCCTAGGTTCCCAGGAACTATAAGTCCCTGCCCCTCGTAGATAATTCACCATCCTTCTTCATCGTCTCCTTCCGGATCTAGGTCTATTGACATATCCATTCAAAATCCCCCATAAGTAGTCACTAGGAGCTACAACCAACCGTTTTCGGACAATCTACCCACCGCGCGATTAAATATACAGTCCGATCAACGCGATGGGTAAAACTTTTATTCAAAAATATGCAAAAATTACCCCTTTAGCCCAAATTGCACATGAACTAGTCTTGGCATGATCCATTTTGACGACAACAATTATTTGCTCGCTCAGTGAAGGCTCCACTATTACTGTGGAGTTCGTGCTTATAAATTCGGGAAACTGCTTATAAATGATGGATACATAATTTTGAGGTTTGGCATAAAGTACCCAGGTGTGCGTATAAGAAGCCCTAGAGAGTATAAGGGGTATCTCATCAGACAATTTGTTCATTCAGAGACCTTTCTTCGACTCTTCTAACGGGCATATCTCACACAACATTGGAAAAGCTTGAACAAGATGTCTTCCACTCCGCGACTTCAGTGCGCCGATGTCGACCCTAGTCCCCTGGGGCAGCCTCTCCAATTTGCATTCTCCGGCCGTACGGTGCCAAACCGCTTTTTGAAAGGTGCCATGAGTGAACGTCTTGCTTCATTCTCTCTCGGCGATCTTAATGCGCGGGGTGTCCCTTCTCCTGCATTGATTCAGGCCTACAGGAGTTGGGGCGAAGCGCAAATAGGAATCAACCTGACAGGAAATGTCATGATCGATCCTGGCCACCTAGAGGCGGCGGGAAACCCAGTGATTCCGCAACATGCAGAGTTCTCGGGTGAGCGTTTCGAACGTTTTCAGGAACTCGCAACAGCTGGAAAGGCCAAGGGGTGTCTCATCATTGCTCAGGTTGGACATCCGGGTCGTCAGACTGCCGAGTATCTCCAGCCGCATCCAATCAGTGCCAGTGATGTGCAGCTCAACGGCGACCATATGGGCATCGCATTCGCAAAGCCCCGTGCCGCGACGCAAGAAGACATTGCCAACATCGTCGATAGCTTTGCTCACGCGGCTGAATACCTTGACAAGGCTGGCTTTGACGGTATCCAGCTTCACGGAGCTCATGGCTATCTACTCAGCCAGTTCTTGTCCCCTACAACCAACCTACGAACTGATCAGTACGGGGGTAATCTAAAGAACCGAATGAGGTTGATCTTGGAGGTCAGAGACGAGATCGCCAAGAGAGTTCGCAAGAACTTTGTGGTCGGTATCAAAATAAACAGTGTTGAGTTCCAAGAGAAGGGCTTCCAGCCCGACGAAGCTAAAGAGCTTTGCCAGGCTCTCGAGGAGCACGCTTTCGACTTTGTCGAGCTGTCTGGTGGCACGTACGAAAACTGGCCCTTGGCCAACCAGAAGCGGGAGTCAACTCTGGAGCGGGAAGCAGTAAGTATTGCTCCATTCGTCTATTCTATACGATCTTTTATGTTCCAATCCTTTCTGGAGTTATGCTTATAGTGACTAGTTTTTCTTGGAGTTCGCCAAGCTTATCGTTCCTGGGTTGACCAAGACCAAAACCTACGTGACAGGCGGCCTGAAGACTGTTGAGGGCATGGTCAAGGCGCTGGACACTGTCGATGGAGTCGGACTTGGTCGCGCTCTCTGCCAAGAACCGAACCTTTGTGCGCTTATCCTGTCCGGGCAGGTCAAGGGAGCCATGCTCCAAAAACTGAATATGCTAGACTTTGGTGCTACAGCTGGTGCGGCTGGCCTTCAGATCTCACAGATGGGCAAGGGATTGCAGCCCGTGGATCTCTCCATAGAAGAAAACGTGGCAAAGGTTTTCAGCACTTTCGGTGTCTGGGCTGCTGCGAAAAAGGAGAATTTAGAGATGTATGAATTCCCCGTCCTGCCTGGTTATGATATCCCCTATGCTACCGCGGTCCTATGATGTCTTGTGTGAACACAAGATTCAACCTCAGTACCTAGGTGCATCATAGTGAGTATACTTTGCAATGGAAGAATTAAAGTGTCTTAAAAGTTAGACGTTCGTTATCTTGGAATGGCAAAAAGATCGGGTCGTACTAGAAGACATTAAATTCAGACGATTTTTACGAGAGAGAATAGATGCCTTATACATATTTTATCCACTGTTACTCGATAATGATCGTGCTATAATCGGTCCTAGTCCCTTTGTGGAGAGAGTGGTGACAGTTGACAGCTAATAGTTTAGGCCTCTAGGGTTGTAGATAACTTAGAGTTACTAGTTAGGCTGTCTACGGATCTCTGTTAATCTTTATTTCTTTTAAGGGCTTTATCGCACCTTTCTTTTACGTTTACAAACAGGGTGAGCAGATAGGGATGACACGAACATAGTTACTGTGCTAGCTAGGAGAAGTGATTTCCTAGCGGGTTATATAAAGGAACGAGACCAGGAGTATTTAGAGAGTAAGCCAGCTGTGGGCTTTTATAAGAGTATATTTTAAGTTGCTAGTAGAAGAGTTGGTGTAATTATGTATTGCTGGCAACATAGCGGATAGGGGCGATTACAATTAGGGCCGCATAGCAGGAAGTTGCGAAATGTACCTCAGACTCACACTACTCCTAGCCAGGATACAACCCAGTAGCATCACCGGCTATAACATGACAGAAATTGCTCGGTATTATGGTTGTGCAATGTCTGAGGTTGATTATAACAACAATATGTAGATTCTTCATTTGCCCTCCGCGTCCTTCTACTTTGTTGCTAGAAAGTAAGTCATAGAGAAATTCCGAATTAATTCAGCAAATATTTACAGGGGTCATGTCTATATAAGTCAAACGCAACCCCTAAGAGTCCCGTGAGCAGCCCAACAAGCTAAGTACCCTTTATCGTCCCCGAGTAACAAGGTAATCTTCCAGATATTAAAACAAATCCAAAGAAACCAGGCTAACAAACAAGCCCCTACCCCAGTTCAAAAATGAACCACGCCGATCAAATCCCGCCAGTGCCCACCCCTGGAGGCAACCCACGAGCCATAAGGACCTACCTAGAGAGCTTAATTCGGGACGCGCTCGGGGCAGGCACCCAACTGTCCTGGGACAGCACCCCACGAACCATACATGAGCTGGCCTCCCGCACAATGACCTTCTCAATCAGCGTTACCCACAAAACCCCCAAGATCGCAGTTGGCGAAGTCTCGCTGTACCACCATCTTCATGAAGAGCAGCATGAGAATGTCCTCGGTTTGGCTGCTAGCACTCTGATCCAGCAGGGCTGTGCTTGTATTATTGCTCTGAAACTGTCTATTCATGAGGGTATTTTACACTGCCAGATCTATCGGGTTGGGAGGGGGCTGATCCTTCTGTGCTTTCCGATAGGTCTTGTCCTGAGACAGAATATGTTGCGCTGCGTGCAAAGGTCAATTTGGCTTTCAACTGGGTCAGTGCACCTTACATTGAAAACGGCCGGTGATTGTGGCTGGTGAATATTCTCTGGCCTTATTTTGAATTCCGTTTTCTCTTTGTTTGTTAGAGTGTTTACATCTTTGTCTTTCGGATATGTGCTTCTTTCTTTGGTATGTTTTAGTTGCCCTTGTTATGATCTTATGTTTCTCTATATGAAATCACGACGTACATGCACTTGTTTTGCTGCTTAGTCTTGTATTGCAACCTAAATCAAAGTAGTAACATTATATAGCTAGCTAACTTGACCGTATAGACACGAGCCAAAATATCAGGATAACAAGGAGTCATAACTCTTTTCATTACTTCTCGAAAAGTCGCATATAACGATTCAGTTCCTTGCTTCAGTATTCATTCAAATATCCGTGACATTCTTTACTTTAGATCTATATAATTTAATACATGTACATTGCCAAACGCTTCAGAAAATGCGCGTCAAACTTGGCTTCATCCATTGGGGGCTTTCGCACTGATTCGATGACCGCCATTTCTTGATCTTCTCGTTGTCCCATCCAGCTGTGAACTGGTCGACAAGATCGGCCTTACTAGAACCAAGCCGCATGCTGTGTTGAAACACACAAGCTCCCTTATTATCATAGGTAAATGCCATACACCAGTCCTTGTCGTGACATGCTTGCCGGCATGCGTCTAATGACTGGTGTTGTGGCAGAGTATCAGGAGGTTCGATGAACCCGCCCCAATCACCATTATCCCAACCCTTCTTTTCTGGTATATCTCCTAGTTGGTGATAGTTGATCAAATCCGCGTATAGCAGAGGATTCTATATTGATATCTATCAGTTCTGTTGTCAAATCATATGCGCAGGACAGAAAGCAACACACCGTTCGATTCCGTCCATTCTCCCATTTTGCCAGCCCATCCATATCTGACAAGAGTGATTTGTGCATGCTGATCACAGGCTGACACCAGTGATTATCGTCGCCGAAAGGAATTGAATCTAACGGATGCGCATTGAACATGGGCCACATTCCTGACAACTTGATGCCTTTCTCATATAGCGCAGTGCCCAGTACAGAGTCACCACAGCAGTCGTCGGTGACAATCTGCAAATATTGATCACTGACGGACGGACCAACAAATTGTCCATATCTGCCAACGTCCCGGGCTACCAGTTTATCGACTGCCGCTCTGGAGAGCACAAAGCCGGAGCCACCGTAGGCAAACCAGATCACTCCTCCACCTTCGAGGGCTCGACCTGGTGCGGGAGAGCCCATATATAAAGGCACCGAAGGATCAAACTGCTCCAGCACGCGGAACAGATTATCCCAAACAAAGTATGTATCTGTCTCGAGGAAGACATACCACTCTGCAGTGGGATTTACTTTCTTCGCACGCTCAATCATGGGCAAAAACTTGAATCGATCTAGTCTCCACCCCGCTGCACCATCCATGTCAGTCGTGCCGTTTTGTAGCGCATCGTATCCTGTGAACTCGGGAATCTTCTGGCGGGCAGAGGGCGAAATATCGGCCAGAATATCGTACACTTTATGGCCTAGGACTTCGGTTTCCAGGTCTGAAACCACGAGGAGATTCGAGATACAGCGGGTTACAGAGGTCAGGTGTGTGTTCACTCGTTTCGTATTTTCGGTGGCGCTGGTTTTCAGGACAATCTGAACGCGCGATAGGACGTCCGAAGGAAACGAATTGCATGCTGTCTCGCTTTGTTGGTTATTGTTGTTCTTGTCGAGATGTGTGTTCCGGAATTGAGTTCTCGTTTCCCATGTCCAATAGTCCGTCTGATTTGATATATTATCTTTCACCCTTGCGGTGGTGATTCCAGACAAATTCTCAGAATACAATGTGAGCAAGAGGATAGTGGACACAGTGAGGAAGACTGCAAGCAATTTGAGCTTTGCATTGCCTAAAAATCTGAAAAATGGCCGCCCGGTCGCGGACCTGGTTGTTGTGTCCATTATAGTGGGTGATCGCCCATCTGACCGTTTATTAAAATGGGCAGGGAGATGAAATTATGAACAGAGAGAGGAAGCGACTGAAAAAGAAAAAGAAAAGAAAAGAGTCTACGCGATAGGTTTGGAGCCGGATATGTACCGTTCATTACTTGTGAACGTCACCATAGCGGGTCTTGAACACTAGGCAGTCAATTGGCCCTCAAATCAAGCCTTTTCAGCCTTAGCGTCAGCCTCAAGAGATACGATCTTTATAATTTGGGGCCAAAGGAATCAAGTCATGTTTGGCCCGAAAATATACTGAGTTCACTTAATTTTTCCAGAAAAGAAAAAAAGAAGAAAACAAGCGAGTCGTTCTTTTCTCAATTTTTTTTTGGAGTGGAGTTGAGTGAAACCTACGCTCTGCCGTGTAAAACAGGTAACATTGTGATAGGAGGAGGGACAGAATAGAGGAATCTGTATGTGAATCGGGGGTCCCTTGCCTTGCGTTTTCACCGCACTTCCAAGTTTTTGATATCTCGAGGCTGTAGGGCAAAAACTTTGATAGCGATAACGTTGGGCCGATAAGATATTATAGCCTGAGAAATATGGCAACAAGATCAGCCAAACACCACAAACACAAACATGCATCCTGTGAGCTTCCATGAGCCCGATGCTACTGTCCTTGCAATGCAATTCGGGAGTTTTATTCAGACAGACGCGTGTTAAAACTCGAATTTCTCGTGTCTGAAATATCCGCGATCATTTTCCCAAACCCGTGGTCAGGCTGCGGTCTCTTCTTGCCCAACAATACTCCGTGAAACCACCCACTTATCACATCCACGAACAAACACAACGAACAATCTGCCCAGCAGGGCACCGGGCAGATCATGTCAGCCGCACCTCGAAACCCTGCCCGCGGGCGCCGCCTGGACGACGCGCTCTCACAGCTAGTCGACGGGCTAACCCCCGCGCTCCCCATCTCCGCCATCCAAGACACAGACTACTCCGACGAAGAAGAAGCGATCGCGTCCGCAGAGAACCGCCGGCACCATGTTCTCATGGAGCGCGCCTGGCGCATCCTTGATACCCACCCCAGCACCAATGCCTCAGACGCCGGGTCACCAGCGGGGCTTGGTGGGCGCCGAGGAAGCATCGCGGGAACAGAGAGCATCAACAACGCGCCGGATATGATTAAGCGCAAATTGCGCCGAGAGAATGCCAGCCCTGATAAGGCTGTGCGATTTTCAAATCTATATTCGCGCCTTTTGACGCAGCCGGTGCTTTCGCAGAAATGGGGTATCCTCTTTTTGCTCTACAAATTGTCAGCCTCGGATGGTCCGGTGGAAGGTGGAGGGAGGAGCCACAGTCCATTGATGGATGAGGCGCATCTACAAAATATGTTAACAAAGGACGGTACACGCCCGAGACGGGGTACGGTGGTGGACTCGGAGGATGAGGGCCCGGCTGTTAGCTCATCAGCATCCCAACAGCGCGTTCCTGTGGCGGCAAAGATGGAGAGGCAAAGCTCATTGCGACATGATGTTGACCGTAACGGAGTGGACCATGCTGGGCGCAGTCATGTCGATACTGGAGCGAACAACCATTCCAGCAATGAGCATCTTCGTGATCCATCACCTCCTCGGCCATCAACATCTGGTCATGGTAAGCCGCCTGGCCCCACTCCTACAGAATATAAGCTTCTACGTGACCTCCCATTCAACCTACAAGGGTTGTCTTCCTCCAACCTGCAATTCAGTTCGCCGTCGAGCTTGAAACTGCCCTCAAATCTACCTGCGCCGATCGTGTCACTCCTTTACTCATTGGCGGAACCATGTTTATTATACAAAGGGCTGTCTGTGTTTGTAGAGAGCGAGGAAGGCGGACTGGTGAATCAGAGCTTGCGAGCTGCCATTGCCATCGAGCTGCGCGCATATCTCAGCTTGGTGGCTACATTAGAGGCGGAAATTCGACAGGCGCTGGCCGCGATCGGAGATGGTACCGAACCTCAAGGGGTACGAAAGGGCGGTGTCACCCTCAAACGATGTATGGTGTGGACGAGAGATGCGACAATGGCACTTCGACTGATGAGCCTAATCGTGGAAGAGGCTCAAAGTAAGTCATTATACAAATCAAACAATTCTACTGTTCATCAACTAATTTCCACAGGTAAAAAGGGTGGCCAGTTGATCTCTTTAATACACGGATTTTCGACGTCCCATGGAGATCCTTTCGTGTGTGCCTTCGCTGAGAAGCTTCTCGCGCATGTTACTCGCCCTTTCTACGACATGCTACGGCTATGGATCTATGATGGTGAACTATCAGATCCATACAAAGAGTTCTTTGTCGCAGAGCCAGGCTTCAGGCCGAACAGTGACCCACGCCGAATTGCAACAAGCGTCTGGGAAGACAAATATAAGCTTGATGATGATATGGTGCCTTCGATCATCACCCAAGAATTTGCAAAGAAGATTTTCCTAATTGGAAAATCGCTGAACTTCATTCGATATGGCTGTGGCGATTCCGCGTGGGTGGAGGCATATTCTACAGAAGCCTCAAAAGAGCTACGATATGGTGACACGGCTACGCTAGAGACATCTATCGACGAGGCGTATAAGACCACAATGGCCCGGCTGATCTCTCTGATGGGTGAAAGGTTCAAACTCTTTGATCATCTTCGAGCACTGAAGAGTTATTTGCTATTAGGCCAGGGTGACTTCATTGCCCTGCTCATGGAGTCGCTTGCCTCGAATCTGGATCGTCCAGCAAATTCACAATATCGACACACTCTTACGGCACAATTGGAGCATGCCATTCGTGCCTCTAATGCACAATATGATACCCCAGAGGTGCTACGTCGGCTTGATGCCCGTATGCTCGAACTGAGTCACGGTGAAATTGGATGGGACTGTTTCACCTTGGAATATAAGATCGATGCCCCGGTTGACGTGGTCATCACCCCTTGGGCGTCTACTCAATACTTGAAAGTCTTCAACTTCCTCTGGCGCATCAAACGAGTCGAGTTCGCACTAAGCAGCACCTGGCGGCGGACAATGACTGGTGCACGCGGCGTGCTCGGAAACGTGGACGACAAAGTCGGCGC